GAATTTACTGTGATGGCTGAAATGAGAAAGGAAAATGCTTTACTGAAGGTTTGTGTTTTTGCGTTGATTAACAATGTTTTTATGATTAGTCATAAGACAACTATTTAGTTTCCAGTTTGGAACTTTGTTGTTTCCTTTGTTCTGATTTGACTTTTTCCATATAAATTGAATTTAGGATATACTTTTGTCCTCTGATATTTGTCAACTGCTTTATTATTAGTGAGTTTTCTTTCACTTCCATTTACTATACAGAGTTCTTTGGATACCTTGGAAAAGAAGAACTCTTCCCTGGAGCTTGAGCTCAAGAAGGCTCTAAAAGATGCCAATGATACCAATGAAAAGTTGCGGGAATTAGAACAAAAGAATTCTGAGCTCCAGAATAACATGCTAAGGTATTTTTCACACTTGAAACTATTATGTTACATTTATACTTAAATACATGCATGCATATTCTATGCTTGCTTGATTACTGCTTGTTTTACTTATTTGTACCTTCTGGTAATATTGGATTTTTGTTCTGCTATAATTTAGTTTCCAGTTGACTGCTTCTTAAATTGATATATTTTATTTTCTTGCGATCTGAATTGAATATTTAATTTGGTTTGCATATTGTGTTAGTTTTTCTTCCTGATTCACTTTCTTTGTTGGTTTTTAATAAGTCTGGAGGGGAAGCTCTCACATCTAGAAGATGAAAATCATGTTCTACGACAAAAAGCATTGACCCAATCCCCAAAAAGCAACCGTGCTAACTTTTTAAAGTCATTTTCAGATGTAAGTGCATGAGTGTTTTTTCCCCTTTGATAGCATATCTTTGCTTCAGTTGTAATTTTTGTACATCTTGGATAACGCTGTCGTCTGACACGCATTATTTTTTTCACTTTCTAAAAAAAATTTACTGTTTTAAATTTGCATTTCTTTGGACTTACTGAGAGTGGTTTCTGTAAATTATTGTTTTCTTAATGAACCAGAAATATGGTGGTACACTTAATCTCCATCCAACTGACCGGAAGCAAGTATATGTAAGATGTGATGTCACTAGTTTCTCTCTCTTCCTCCTACTTCTGCCCCCCCTTTTTCTCATTTCTCCATGTAAAAGATATTGCTGCTAATTTTAGCTTCACTGTTACCAAATTTTAAGCTTTTGCAATCACATTCTTTTCTGCAGGAATCTCCCACACCTTCAAAACTTATTGTACCTTTCTCACATGGCATGTCAGAATCACGACGGCCAAAACTAACAGCTGAGAGACAGCAGGTTTCTTGTTTATAGTTATTAAGCTTTTTGTTTTGATCTCAGCGAGATCTTTTAGTAGATAGCAAGCATCATTTTGAACTAGATAAACAGTTACTAAATTGATAGTGACTTCAATATTTGCATTTGCATTACTTAAAATATAAGAACCTTTGTCCACAGGAAAATTATGAATTCCTTTCAAGATGTATCAAAGAAAATTTGGGGTTTCACAATGGTAAACCTCTTGCTTCTTGTATCATATACAAATGTCTTCATCATTGGCATTCCTTTGAGTCTGAGCGGACAGCTATCTTTGACTACATAATAGAAGGAATCAATGATGTTCTAAAGGTACTTGTAGTCATATTCACAAACTTTCTTGAAATTGAAAGGCCATTATTTGTTATAGATACTGATAATAAAATTGAGTAATATTTCGTTCCTTTTCTCATTACAATCCCGTAATATTTTTTAGTAACTTTTTACCCTTTTGTGATTGTTTTCCTTATTTCAGTCTTTTACATTTTTTTGCAGGTTGGGAATGAAAATGTTACTTTACCTTATTGGCTGTCCAACACCTCAGCACTTTTGTGTCTGCTGCAGAAAAATTTACGATCAAATGGCTTTTTGTCTGCTACCACTCAACGATCTGGAGGAAATACTGGTTTACCTGGAAGAGTTGCGTATGTGAGTTCCATTGCATTATTTGGAAAATTAGACTTTTTTGGGTTGTAATTTTGTTATATTTAGTGCATAGTTCATATCTCCATTTCTTTAAAATTTTAATGCAATTCAAGCTAAAAATATTTCTTGAAAATTTTGTTTATTATGACTGGCTAGTTGTCACCTTTATCTCTAATGGTGAATAAAGCTGGCCTTCTCTTGATGTACTTATTCTAATAATACTCATAATTGCTGCATGGAGGCCAGTGGTCATGTTTCATTATTTTCAATTTTATTACTTCATTGACCAATTTTGTCTAAAGTAAGCTGATTTTTGTTTATTATGCCTCCAGGGTCTAAAATCCCCTTTCAAATACCTCGGGTTTGAGGATGGTATGTCACATATAGACGCAAGATATCCAGCAATATTATTCAAACAACAATTGACAGCCTGTGTTGAGAAGATTTTTGGCTTGATTCGCGACAATATTAAGAAAGAATTATCTCCGCTTTTAGGATTGTGCATTCAGGTGTGTATTGAATGATAGATCTTATTCAGATTTGGAAGCTAAAGCCAATAGTGAAATTCATGAAGTACCAGGCCCCAAGATCAGTTTTGATTATCATTTAGCTGTGTTTATGTTATGTCTGAAACATTTTTTTTTTTGTTACGCAATTCAAATCCTAAGCTCTTCAGGATTAAGGTATTTGACACTGTAAAAAGCCACTCAAGTGGAAAAGCATTCATTGTCAGATTATGGTTTGATCATGTGGTTTTTCATATTTGTTATGTATATGCTGTCCTTTTATTTATTTATTTTCTTAAGTAAGGTGTATTTGTTCAGTTTCTTTAGAGAGAGCATCAGACTTTTAGTTGCTTGGAAACTTAAAATTCTAATTGGTGGTTATTGTTTGTTGATTTTGAAGGTGCCAAAAAATGCACGAGTTCTTGCTGGAAAATCAAGATCTCCTGGAGGGCTCCCCCAACAGTCACCTAGTAGTCAATGGGATAGCATCATCAAATTCTTGGATTCCCTTATGAATAGTTTGCGTGAAAATCATGTAGGTGTAATAGTTTGAAGCAAGTTTCCCTTCTAGAAACAATACTAGTTTGTTCAATCGATCGTTAAACCTTAAATTGTTAAGGTCAGCAAATGTGTGCAGCACTTGGTGGGAAAATTAAATTAATATCTCTTATCAGCTAATTAAAAAAAGGGTATATCTTATGAAATTATGTAGAGCAGTTATGATTAAAACTATACCGGCTTTTGTTTCTTTAATTACTTTCTCTGACCAATTCCTATGCACGTAGGTACCATCTTTCTTCATTCGTAAGCTGATCACTCAGGTTTTCTCCTTCATCAATATGTCCCTTTTCAACAGGTATGCGCACATAGTATTAGAAATTATCTTAGTGTCAATGGTTTGAATGATCAGTTTATTAAGCTGAAATTTTCTCCAGTCTTTTACTTCGACGAGAATGTTGCTCATTTTCAAATGGGGAATATGTTAAATCTGGTCTAGCAGAACTAGAGAAATGGATAGTCAATGCAAAGGAGGAGGTAAATAACTTTCTTCAGCAAGTTATTGTACTCATTGAATGCAATAGTGTTTAGTCTGAAATATTGGAAGATGTAGTTTGCAGGAACCTCTTGGCATGAGCTAAATTATATTAGACAAGCTGTTGGTTTTCTGGTATGTGCCCCAGCTTCTACATTTTTTGGCCAGTTAAGCTATAAAACTATCATGGCTGTTACACTTTTTCATTCTACATTTTTTTAGGTAATACATCAGAAGAGGAAAAAGTCTCTAGATGAGATCAGTCATGATTTGTGTCCAGTAAGCTAATGTTTATTTGAATCTCTTATCTCGCTTCACCCTTTTTGGAGGTTAATCATGGTTTCCTTGTATCATGGAACTTGCGCAGGCGCTGACTGTTAGGCAAATCTATCGAATAAGTACCATGTACTGGGATGACAAATATGGCACTCAGAGTGTGTCAAATGAGGCAAGTAACTGACTCTAAGTGCCCGTGGAAAATTTGTGTACAATAATGCCGCTTGGGTTTCTGACATTATCTGTCAGCAGGTTGTTGCTGAAATGAGGGAGATGTTGAACAAGGACAACCAGTATCTCGCCTCGAACTCATTCTTGCTGGATGATGATCTGAGGTAATGTGCGTTCCGTCAAATTTGTGTACAATCGAACTTACCAGAGTAAAGATGTGAGCTTGTCTTTTGAAAGTGTTTCTTTTCCCTGCTAAAATCCTTGGTGGTGTTATACGTGGATCCATGTTTTTTCGTGTGTATATCACTTTGATTTGTTATTGAATTTAAATAATTTTCTAAATTGCAGCATTCCATTCTCAACTGAAGATATAGATATCGCAATACCAGCAGTAGATCCTTCCGACGTTCAACTCCCTGCATTCTTATCGGAATACTCATGTGCACAGTTTCTAAGCCAGGATCAGAAGTAAGTATACCGTATGATTTGAAGGCTGCTATTAGTATAGCTCGTGGGAAGGTTAATGCATATGGTTTAAGGTGGTGTCCGAGTACTTTATAATGACACAAGTTCGTTGGTGCTCAAAGATACGATTTGAGCAGCAAAGATTCTACTTGTGAAATTCAGTCTATCAACTGCTCTCATGGTGGCTTCCACATTGGGTAGTCGTAGGACTACGTAGCCCTACATTGTTTAGTGTTAGGTATTAATTTGCTTTGATTGAGAAGGATGCTTCTTGATTTTTCTTGTGAAGCTTGTCCTCTCCTCATAGAAATGCTTCCGCGTTGTATTCTTATGCTGTATAAAAATTTTTTTATAATGTACATAGAATGGGCATTCACCCTTGACCTTCTTTACTGTTTTTTCATTAAGTGATAAAACTCCCATTTATTTTTTTTTTCTTTTATTCTAAAGTCATCTGGCTTGATTGATTAAAGAAATTGTCATATTCCGCCATACAACATTCGTGATTAAAAAATACTAGAATCGAATTTCAGACGCTTTCTCCACTTACATTGATCAGTTCGATTCTATTTTGCATCAAAATTAAGACATGAATATCGGAGATGTTATGAACATACACCTGCATCAGCTATTGTTAAAATGAAATTAGCATTTAGTAGCATGATCATACACATGCAATCGGGTAAAAATTAAGTACAAAACGGCAAAAACTTGAGGCATCATTTTCCTTTGAACAAGAACAAGGGAGGAGACATAAAACATGCATCATATGCTATCGCCTAATCCCCCCTTGAGTAATATATCAAACCCTGTAAAGACTAACAAATTATTATCAGGTTCGTTTATTAGAGATAGTTTCATCATGAATTAAAGAGCAATCTGGACGAGTGTATCCCATAACAGTGGTATATTCCCGTACATCAGCCAACGAGAGGGACCGCCAATTAGAGAAATTACGGCTTCTTGAGGGCGGCGACGAAGGGGTACTATTATTGTTATTGAGAGATATTCTGGTTTGTGGGTGCAACGGAGGAAGCCTAGGGCTTGAAGTCGAAGTAGAGTCCTCACTTGTGCTAGAGATACTTTCGGAGCTACTTATGGCAACAGCAAGAGCCAATGTACTTTTGCTTGAGCTGATGGGTCTTTTATTCCTGTTCTTGTCCCATACATGGTTGACTGCCAACAGGTTTCTCCTCCTCCGGGTATATGCGTTTTCAGGTTTTGCTATGTCTTTAATAGATGAAGCTGAGGAAGCATCCGCTAAACTTGTGAAAGACTTTGATTTGCCATTGTAGAAACTCGAGATGCCTCTCCTGTTAAAAACCCAAAATTTTGACATATTAATTGATGAAAAGTAACTTTTTTAAAATCTTGAACAAAAGGATTCTAAATTATTCCTACCCAATTTATTTCTATTTTTCTTAACACAGATCCAAACCATTCTGAACTAAACATAAATATTCTTAATACCCATAAATTAAAATTTGAAAAAAAAAAACCGGAATTTTTTAGGAGAAAAATCAGACGAGAAAGAAAGCTAACCTCATAGGCAAAACCTGTTCGAGGGAATCCATCATGTCTACACCACCTTTATAGGTGCTTTGAACCTCATTTTCGTCGCAACCTCCAGCGTCCGAGGATCTTCCAGACACGTCATCACTATTCCTCCCGATCGAAGACGATGTTGTAGTAGACAATGAACTCCTCCAATCGTCTTCTTCCTCCGCATCTTTCCTTTCCTTCACTGCTGTTGATTCAAATCTGGAAGAATCACACGTCATCACGCGCCCAAACCCAGACGCTTCTATCCTTTCCAATGCAATCGACATAATCGCTTCTTCTGCCTTTCGTCACCCAAAACAGTAAAAACAAAGATACAGAAAGAAGAAAGAATTTCTTCCTTTAAAACACAAATAACCAAAGAGAACAACAGAGAGAGAGAAAGAGAGAGAGAGCAGAAGGAAGGGAAAATTGTAGGTTTTATGCGTTTTGAAGATTTGTTGGTTTGCTGTTGAATTTTTTTTTTTTTTTTAAAGATAGATAAATATGATTGCCTATCGAAATGTATTGAATAAAGCAACTGGGGACTCTTATCCTCATCCACTCATTGTCAGAACCATTTTATCATTATTTTTACTGTTTCCTTTTTATAAAAATTAAAGAAAAGAAATGAGCTGTTATCAGGTGTTTCCCCCCCCCCCCCGCACAATGGACTTTTCCTAAGAATCTCATTTATTTATTATTTAGAAATTTCTATAAGAAATAAAAATAATTATATTTACTAAAATTATTAATAAACTTTTATAAAGTAAATTTACTAATTTAAGCATTGTATCTATAACTTCATTATCCCATCTTTACTCACTTTTAGTGAACCAACATCAATGAAATCCAAACTTCTCATTAGAAGTTTTAATTTTAATATTTTAATTTCAAAAATAAAATTAAAAAATTTTCATATTTTAATATATCTTAAATGATATATATAATGCCATTATTTATATTTATAAAATTTAATTGAAAATAAATGAAATAATTTATCTTAATTTCTTTGCGTAATTGGTTATAAATAAGTAATACTAGTATTATGTTTTAATAAGTCATCTAAGAACAGCTGTAAATTGGAGATAAAGTGAAAGTTGGCACGGTAATTAATGCAAAGAGGCCCCACCAAAACCAAAAAAAATAGCAGCTTGATTGATGGTGATATGACGTTCCATGTGGACCATGTAGGAAGCGAGGTTCTGGATGAAGACACGTTCAAGTGTCAATCTGGTCGGAGATGGATAACTATGACGAGACAATGACGAAGGTCTTTTGATCTGGTAAGCCTTATCCACATTTATGGGACCCACACCCTTTCTCTCTCCTTTTTTTTTTTTTTAAAGAAAGGGTTTGGATAAGAATATAAAAGGTTTTGTCTCCCTTCTCTCCTTTTTATTTATTTTTTATTTTAAAAAATAGAAATAAATAAATGTTGTCTTAATATGAAAAATAAATAATTTTTATTGAAAACTAAAAATTTTATTGTAAATATAAGCAAAACCAATATCATAACTTTTACTTTGCATGAAATTTTTTATTATAAAATTTTTTAAAAGTAAACATTAATGAAAAAATGGTTGAGCCGAAGCTCGGTGAAGCTGAAGCAAAGGCTTGGCTGTAGAATGGGCTTGAGGCTTGTATGGGGCGATGCGTTTTGTGGTCCCCGCGTATCAACTAGGATTCCGAAGTGGGCCGAAAAGGGGCCAATATGTTTTTATATTTTTATTAAAAATATATATAGAAAGAGGAAGACGATAGGACCACGTGTGGAAGCAGTCCAACTCCATTGCAATTCACGTCTTCCTCTACTCCGTCACATGGTATGGTGATGAGTCCCAGTCAAGTGGGTTAGGTTTTTTTTTTTTTTTTGAGACATCAAGTAGGTTAGGTTAGGATTTAGGGTTCGTTTTCTTGTTATATATCTTACTCGCATGAAAATGTCACGCGCTTCAATAGTTATATATGATTTATGATTGTGATGTATTGATATATTTAAATAAAATTTTCCCTTCTTAGGTGACAAAAATAGAATATGCATATTATTGGTAACCTTTTGATAAAAGGACTCCCAAACCTACATTTATAGCTTATCTTTTTCAGTCTTTAAGATAGAAAAAGTTCGAATAACACACCAAAAACCTTATCCACTATGGGCTCTCTCCTTCCAAAATTAAAAAAAAAAAAAAGGATATTTGTATGTAAAAACCACCATTTCTCTCTTTTTTTTTTTTAATTTAGTTTACCTTTCATTTTGAAAAATATTCAAATTAAGAGATTAAAATTGTAGGGGTTGGATAAATTTTATTGGCTTTTCTTATTTTTATTTTTGTGTAATTAAGAGATTAGATATGCTTATAGGTAACAATAAGGGAGGAATACTATTTGACGTGTGAACATGACATTAAAAAATCATTAATGCAAGTTGCATATAGTAATAGTGAATTTGTTTCAATTAAGCCAGCATTTTTGCTTTTAATTTTACTACAGCTTTGTAACTTATGTCAACTAATTAATTATGTTGAATATGTGCAGCTGTCAGCCATTAGGTTGTACTGTCAGGGGAAAGAATAAAGAATTTTCTCTCAATTTTAAGAGATAGTGTTAGTTGAAAAATGTTGGCAAGATAAGGCTCAAGGATAATTAATTTAATTATTCTTTTATAATTATTTTTAATGTGAAAAAGAAATTCAAATCTGACTAATTGAAAATTAATTAACTGAATTAAATATTTGGGTGCCTGTCATGTCATTGGATAATTAGATAAGAAGAGAAGAAATGTCAAAAAAAGAATTTCAAAGTTGATAAATGTATGTGGGTGTTTGATGGAAATTAATAAGTGTTTTTGTGCTTATCCCAAATGCCCAGCTTGATGTTGATCAACTTAAATAAAATTTAATTCATATTCATTGCCATAGGATAATAGTCTTTATAATGGGTAAAGCAAACCTATTTCAAGAATCTAGAAACATGTAGAATGTGCTATTATCACGTGGATATGGATATATGCACGTTTATTTTGGAAGATGTGATTAATGTGAGTGGATTCGGTTAAGCATTCTTCTCTTTCTTTCTTTTTTTTTTTTAAATTTTGTTATCTATTTTTAACTTGAAATCCCTAATTGCTTAATTCACTTTGAAAAAAATTATACATTTAAATGTCACGAACTCATAATTTTTAAGAATTTAACAAAAAATTTAACTTGTTATTTAAGTAAATACTCAATTGACTTTGAGTTTAAGCTTTATTCTTATTATTATCTTTGATGTTTTTGATTTAATAATAATCTATTGTAATTAAAAATTAAAAGAACAAAAAGAAATGTGCAGATGCTCCACATTAGATGTTCATTTCATGTACTAAACTGTTTTTTTTTTTTTTGTGTGTGTGTGTGTGTGTTTAATACATGTTGGCAAATTCAGGAAATTAAATTCGATGAAATAATCAATACACAGTAAATGGCAAAACTTGTAAAAATTTTCCTACACTAGTATAGTTTTAGACAAGTGTTTCCACTATCATCTTGCTTAAAATCTGCCACTGAGCTGGGTAAAGAAAACTATGGCTTAACAGGGAAAGCAAGCTTTGCCAAGGCAGCAACAGCTAAAGAGTTGACATAAGTGCATGGCTCAGTGTAGACGGATGTCCAACGTAGATCACTGAAATGATCTTGTTTGTCTGGTCCGCCAAGAATAGCGCCAGTTAACTCATTAGGGTTTGGTGTGTTTTTATTGTACCAACGAACGAAGCTCATAGGGCAGCTCACATCCGACTTAGCGTCCAAGAATGGGACTGAGGCACCCCTGTGGTGCGCTTGTTTTGGTGGATTGTTCCCAAACCCAACCATGTATGATCTTCCTAGTGGGTTTTGCCCTAGTATGTAGTCCATCTGCAAATTTTCCATTTAACCAAAGAATAATGTTAATGCATAACTTTTTCTGATAAACCATCACATGCTTTTACAGCTATCAAATTAATGTACCTTCATTTCTATTTTCTTAAGAAATTAACTAATGTGCAGTTTCTGAAAATTTATTTACCTGCTGCTTAGCAAAAGCAAAGAGGTGGATGGAGTCAAACTGTTTGTCTCCGCATTGAACCTTTTGGTTGAATTTTTTAAGCAAATTACCATAGATGGTGAACAGGAAAGAAGCTCCGGTAACATACTGAAGGTTGGCTCCATCTCTCAAGTGAATCAGACCACCTGATTGGATCAATCAGAACTTAAAATATAAGCATCATTTTCATCACCATCGCAACTCAGAAACGAAGCAGAGACATATAGAGAGCCAGAACAGACCTTTAGTCATGGGAATTTTAAAGTAAGGACTTTCAGGAAGCACTGAGCAAATATAACTGTCAGCTTGGCCCTTGTAGGATTTCAAAGTCTGGTCACCTTGAAAGAAAGACTGCATTTTGAAGAGAATATTGGTGACATCAGTCAATCAATGATGAAATGTACTGCCATCGTCGCCTCGATCCCTAAAGGAAGAGTTGAAATGTATAGTTTAACAGACCTGAGAAAGGAGGACTTGGATTCCTGCATATTTGAGATCCCAATTAAACTCATCGACAACCGCAGTAACTGCTTCTTCCGTGATGTACACCATATACGCGGGCTTATGGGTGGCAGTGTATAGCCATGCTGCCGCCCACAACAGCTCATCCTGTATATTTTCCACATCAATGAAATTTACTTGGTTAACAGTTACATTATGGAGGCAAACAGTATGTGATCAAGTTCACTGCATTAATGGAGTCCAGATTCATTTTTCTATCATCAAAGTGATTCATCCTTAATTCATTTCTATTGCAAATTATCATCAGTATTTGAGATAAATATATATATATATATATAAATTAATTAAAAAGTTCATAAAATCTTTATGTTAAATCTCATGTCTTGTCTGGGTGCCGGTTTGTTTCTAGTTTATTCTTTGCAACGATCAGATGGTTCATTTTTGGATTAGGATGGAATAAATAAGATCAGACATGACTAGAGCCAGTGGCTTCTGAGTTCTGACCGAAAACATAACAGGCCAGGCCAGCCCAAGCCTAAGAGTGGTTTTGGGTCATCGGCGGCCCAGTGACTATTGTACTGGGGCAAATCAAAGATTGATAATTGATGGGCCATAACCTGTCTTTAATTGAAGACAAATCTATAGGCCCAGCCTTGAAGTTTGGGAGGGAATGGAGAGAGAGATTACATTATAGCCAGAGTAAGAGCAATAGAAGGGGCATTCTCCGTCGTAAGTTCCCTTGTGTGCTTTGGCAAATTGGAAAAGCTGCGAAGAAAAATAAGTATAACCAAAACAAAATAACTTTTAATGTCCAAAACTTACAATTAAACAGCAAAAGTAGAATCATTTGGAGAAAATGAAAAAGAAAAAGCATGTTAATATAATTGCACTGAAACATACAACATACATACATACATACATACATACCAGTTTGGCTTTGTTAAGGAGACGACGTGAATAGGGACGATCAATGCGTCTAAAAACAATAGAAGCAGCAGCCATTGCGGCTGAAGTTTCAGCTGCAATCTCTGTTCCAGGAGTGCTCGCATTAATTTGCAGGACAGTTCTTGGAGTCTTCATATTCTCTGGTCTTACCCAACATTCATGATCTTTGTCTGGGTCACCAACCTTTTAAAAACCCAACATAGAAACAAAGCATCAAATGCTAAGTAAATAGGAAGAGACTATATAGAGAAATTGGGATCTTAATTGCTTTACCTGCACATACAATCTATTACGTCTAGAAGCAGCTTTCAGAAAATAATCAGTGCCCCAACGAATAGCCTCACAAACATTTCCTAACTCGCCAGCAGATTGTAGCTCGAAATTGTAAGCAATAGCAGACCATGCCAGGGTGGTGATTGTGAAGGCCATGGGCAATCCATACTTCACATTATCTCCTGCATCGTAATACCCTCCGACAAGGTCCACCTGAATTATGCAAATCAAATAACAATTAAACTTGGAGTTGTCCTTTTGTTATGTTTATATTTTGATGAAGAATTGAAGATAGAAAGAAATATGAATGAAGGATGAATGAAGGGGCCGAGTACATTTGCTTCTTTTCCATCATCAAGAGCAGAATCTCCTCTCCAGGCTAGTCTATTATTAGGAGGGAGTTTCCCAGACCTTTGTGCTTCCAAGAAAATGAGGGACTTGGTGAGAGCTTCCTTGTAGTTCAAATTATGACCATTAACAGCGACTATATACCTTTGAAAAAGAGCCAACCATGCCACAACAGTGGCTACAGATGCTCTTGCAAAAGTTCCCATGAAAACAACCATTCAATACCAATTCTAAGGGGAATAAAAATGATTTTCAGAGGCCTTGATAGCTCTGAAGAAGAAAATTTTTGTTTTTAGTTTTGGGTGTTGAAGATGGCGGGACAGGGATTAGTTATAGTGAGACAAAATGTGTTTGTATGTTAAAATTATGAGTGGAAGAGAGAGGTGGGGGTGATTTGAGAGAAGGCTTACCCGTATTTAGGCACACTAAACATGATTTTTACTATAGAATCATTGGTTTTAGGAGGGGGTTCCCCCTAGCTCGACCTCTCATTTTACCTGCAAAATGAACTTATAAGAATATATTCTTGGTACTTTCAAAAGAAAAAAAAAAAAATTCTTGGTCAGTTATTTCTGCCGCTAGTTTCTCTTATATGTTTATAATTGGATTCCTACTGCGTTAGACAAAAACCGATTCTATCTATCTTTAATGCTTATGATTTCAAAAGCTCGTTAGAATTAGTGTTAGCTGTAAAAATTGAATGAAATTCGCCACTATTAGCCAGGTAAAGTTCAAGTATTAAGAAGTAAAATCAATGATAATAGAATATGATATTTAACCTAAATGATTCACTCATTTTTTTAAGAGGTGAATTTTTACAAAACAAAATTCTATCTTCAGTGCTTACAAATTCTTCTTTCTCCAATTTCTCTTGGATTTTGGCTTTCCTTTTTCAAAAAAAAAAAAAAAAGAAAAAAAAAGAAGAATAATGCAAGATAAAATAATGTGGTCATGGTTTTACAACCCGAGGTTGCATTTTATTTATTTATTTTGAAGAAGCACAGATAGAATTAACTTCACAACCGGAAGGTTAAAAATTCTGCCCTCCCATGACTTTTGAATTTGACAGGTTGAAGAAAGGAAGGTCACTCAAATACAAGAGGTGATAAGAATTAAGTATAGCTTGGCAACGAAATTGAATCCATTACGAGGAAATTCCAAATCCGGTCCTATGATTTCATGTAGTTCACTTGCTTTCTTTAATGAAGTCCTCAAGGATTTGGATTTAAGGCCACTTTTCAATGTCCTGCCATTTTACCAGTTTTTCGGTAAGCTGAGTAGCTGACATCTTTCAGTTACTTATCTGTGTAGCATTTGTTTTCAGCTCAATCTGTTTTATCTCTTTTTCAATATTTCCCCCTTCAACAAGCAAACATATATATATATATATATATATAATATATGTGCGCGCGCGCTCGCACGGGGGGAGGGTTTTGCTCTGGTAAGCAATGGTTATCTCAAGAAAAATAACAATGTGACTTTGTGTAATTGATGATTATCCTCAAGTCTACAAAGAATATCGTAATAATTGAAACTATCCTACGTTGTATGATGCGCAAGCAAAACATTGCAAGGTTTGCAGTGAATTTTCTGATTGTCCTATTGTGTTCATCAGCCATCCCGTCCAAAGTACTGTGTAAACATCCATGAATATGGTCATTTGCTCATCTAAAAATTGAGACAGTGGTGATGGAAAAACGAGCCACCTCAGCATCTCCTTATAATGCTTGCCACATTTCGGCCAATGTCTTCTTTTGTTTGCTCTGACACCGGGAGATCTCCAATGTACATGTCAAAGAAAGCCCCTGGCATACAGCCAATATTAGTATCTCCAACTTTTGCTCTTAAAATTGTGGTATACAATATAAAGCTAATCGACACACGTTAAAGTGCCAAGAAATGCAAAGACAAAGGGATTTACTTACTGCACAAATCCTTGCTATGGACCACTCCAATCTGGTTACCTCCAACTGCACAAATATTTCTTTCACTATAAGACGAATTTATGCTTTAAACAATATTTTACAAATACAAAATAGTGAAGAGATTTGTACTTGACAAAGAAAAAATGAAAAAGAAAATATTAGTCAGATCATTAGTTTAATTCATTTTCCATGGAACACACAGCTCAAGATAATTGTCTCATTAAAGCCGTTGTTACTGTTGGAGAAAGGATAAATACAACCCGAAAGAAACTTACTTTTGGTAATTAGTTGTCCATCAGCAGTCTGCTGAAAGTCAATTATTGTTCCCTGCAATATCCAATAGAGTAAAGTTGAGTTGCTCTTACTTCAGATCAAACAGAAAAAGATAGATGAAAAATGAAGGGAAATACCGCAGGCAATGGAATATCTTGAGTGAAGTAGGAGCCAAATGTACTCAGGCAATGATAATCAGTGTCGGGATTTGTCTAGTACAAGTCAAGAAATTTGTTAGAAATTCGGCAGATCTAGAAGAGAAAATAGAAGTAGAAAGGAAGAGAATGAGAGGAGGAGTTTAAATCTACCAACTTTGATTGCTTACCTTTACTAAACGAGCACGAAGAGATTTTTCAAATGCACTGGAACACAACAATTAAAGCCACCAAGTGAAAAATATCAAGATGTAGCCCATTCAATTTTTCAAAGCCACTCTCATCAAACTGAAATATAATGAAGTTTAAGGGTGCAACAAATGGGGAAAAATAACTTACTCTCTTACTGTATTGATTTTCATCCCATTGCAGTTAACCACTAGCCTAACAGTCATACCAATATCCTCCCTGCACACTTGTATAAAAAATATTCATAAGAAAATAGACAAAGAAAACACCTCAAAGTCTGCAAAGACAAAAAGGGAACAAGAACACAAGACTAAGCCCAAAATTTTTCCACACTCATGACTTTGAACAAACAGCTTATGAATGTTCCAAGTCCTTAAAAAGCCCTGATAGGCATTTGGCAGTAAGTAAAATTTCTAAATAAACTGTCGTCAGCATGAAATTCTCAAGTACCTAAGAAGATCCTGATAAAAATCATTGTGTTTGTTCAGTTCACCCACTGGAATAGAAGCATACTTTGCACCCAGTTTCTGGCAAACAGAGTATGGATGAATATCTATAAAGAGAAAAGGAAAATCAAGCGTGAGCAGTTGAAGCATTAAAAAGAATCACTAATCACAGTAGGAGTAGATGCATCGGGTCGGTTGAACACCCGACTTATGAAAAAACCCGAACCGACCTCAAATTTTTTTTGTTTTTTCATAAACCGACCGACACTATATAAAACTACCTGGATCCATCAAATTAATAAAATATATTTTTTAAATATAAATATTTAAAAATATCATTATATAAATATATATATATAATTAAAAAATTAATTTAAAAAATTATTTTTATATATATCGGGTCGGGTAGGGTCGGGTTTGCCTAAAACCCGACCCCGACTTTGTCTTCATGCTACCCGACCCGACCCCGACCCGACCCCCCGATTTAAAAAAAAAAACCGACCCTAAAAAATCGGGTCGGACCGGAACCCGTCGGGTACGGATTTTTTTGCCTTCCCTAGGTAGGAGGAATCCAGCAAAATCCTCAAGTACTTACAAAAACCAAATGCATACACCTTCAGAGACTTAATTTTGATTATCTTCATGGTTCTTGATCCAGTACCAACAAGCACCTGAAAGAATAGAGGCATTGTTTAAGTTATTGCAAAAAGAACCCAGAACGCCCGACATGTCAAAAATGGCCAGACTATGTTAAAGTGATGCATGTTCCCATTGTGACTATTCAAGCTTGGTCTAATAATGTTTTGTGATGCAAATCCCATTGCTAACCTATAGAAAGCTTTAAAATCAGTTGGTTTAAAATTTCAACAAAGGTGTCTATAATGTGTCTAAACAACTGTGGGAAGTACATTGATAACAGCATTAAAAAGAAATTAATTGCCAGAGATCATGTGAAACTACATTGTAAATATACTAAAATATAAATAAGCTGCTAAACTGATGCAAGCAAACAGATAAAGGCATATCACAGATGATTGATACAGAGTGGGTTAGTGATGGTCACATTAGCAACAGAAACCAGTTCACAATGTTTTACCTCAGAAGCTAAACTAGAATTATGCTTTCTATCTAATATGTTGTCCAATATCGTTGGAAACTCAATGCCAGTTCTAGGTTCAACAGCATTTCGTGTCCAGTTCAAATCTAGGAAAGATAGACTGCCACATCCTTGACACCCAACTTCACAAGGCCTTCGATCCATGTGTTCTTGCATTTGAACTTCTGTGTTATCCAGTGGAACAGCTAGTACCTTCGAAGATCTGATCACATTAAATCAAATGGCTTAATAAATGAGAAACCATGTGACTAAACAAACACAAAGCAGAAAGATAAAAGACAATGTAATTTGTGAGATAAAAACGTTACAAGTTGTCAAATGGTGGTATCAGAGCAGCAGCTAATGACAGCAGAGGAAAGGATTGGAGTGCTTCTGCTTCTCCAAATAAGTGTCTCATTGCATAACTTGAAATTTTACCAAAAACAAGTGGGGTGAAAGATTTGCCGCTCGATTCAGAAGCAAAGTGAAATCCAGCAAGATTATTCTTACAAGAAGCAATGTGTTTAACCTGAGACAGTGGTGATGGCCTTCCAGATTTCAAACCACGTTGATTTCCAGCTGATATATCCCTACTCAAATTGGAAGTTGACATACTAGAGAACCAAAACAGTACAACACCCGCAAACTTCGACATGCAACTAAAAGCTTCACGAAATGCGAGACTACCAGGTACATACAAGTGTTTAGAATGGTACAAAGAACTGTCAACCAATGAACTAAAATGCGAAAACAAATGAGCTCCCAAACCATTAGATACAAAGGGCTCCATTGGAAAAATATATGGAGACCCTCCTCCATCTAAATCCATGAAAAACAACCAATTATTCCTCATATTTTGGAGTTCAGCTAAATGCCCAATTCAGAAACTTTAACCTTTTCTGAACTGGGAAAATAGGGTGCTTAAATTTAGCACCCAATTTGAAAAAATGCACCTACAAAGATTAAAAAAAATGATAATCCAATTAAATTCAATTATGATCCCTTTAAGAACAGCAAAGAAAATATTGAGTAAATAAAAGTACTCTTTGATGAGAAGAATTATAATGATATTGAAAATTTCAAAACCTTAGTTCAAATAATTGGAAATCAACGAAAGCAACAATATATTCGGGAATATGAAAATTATTAAATTAATCTATGCAATTAATCAACAGAAGCAAATCTTAACTCTACATTCACATCAAATGCAACCAAAATAAAAAGGGAAAAAATGTTCAAAATAGATTACTTACAGGAAAATATGAGAAAGAAGGCGAAAGGATAAAAATGTTCAAAATGGTTAAATTTAACGAATTTTTCTTTTCTTTTGAACAAAATGTTACTAAAGAAAAAATATGGAAAATGCGAAGAAAATGAAACGTGAAAGACGTACCTGAAATTTCGATAAAAATAAAAACTTGCATGTGGAGATCAAGAGATTCAAATTACCAAATAGAAGTTAGGGTTTTTTTTCCTTTTTTTTTTTTTGGGTATTAAAAGAGATTTTCTTGAGGAGAGAGAGAAAGGAATATGCTCCGGGACTCTGAAATGGGAAGGAAGAAACACAAGTCACAGTGATTCAAAGCTTTTTGGAAGGACAAAAGTGGAAAACAGAAAGGTTTTATTATTTCTTTATTTTGAACTTTTCTCTGACGCTGTCTGTGTGGCCCCACTAAATCGTCACCAAAAATTCGGCTCCTTATTAGCAACGTTTCTAAAATTTTGTAGGTTTTTAACTTTTAATTTGATTTCCACGTAAAACTCATTTATAATCCTGCACCTAACTTTTTTTCACTAAAATTAATTATTGTTATGGCTAAAAATTTTCTATTTTCATGGTAATAAAATTTTTAGTTCAAATTGTGAGTTTTTTTTCCAAAAACCTAAGTATTATAAATTTAATATATAATATTTTTCCAACTACCAAATTATAGAAGCAATTTGTAATATTGAAAAAAAAAAAAAGAGAGACGATTTACTGAATTGTCACTAATGGCTGTCAGAAAATAGATGGTTAAGTTAGCTGGCAGGGGAAAAGGACTTTCGGTCCCATTATTTTCGGTGGACGGTTGTGTCCTTCCATGGCATATTTGTATTTCCAGGCGGCCGACTTTTCTCCGATTCTGTTGTTGATTATTGTTTTTTGTTGGCTTGTAATGCAAGTAAATTTATTACCACAAAATGGACTTTTTCTTTGATTTCTTTTGTAACAAAAATGTTGTTGCAATTTTTGTAATTGTAATTGTAATTGTAATTTTGACCACACAAGTTAGAAAATTCATTCAATGTAATGACTCGACATTACTTGTCAAAACTGGATTTTTGTTTACATGATCCTGCTGTTCAGATCCATGAAAATTGTGGGTTTCCAAAAAAAATGTTAGTATATAATAATTTTTTTTTTCAAATGAGTTAAATAGACAAAAATTGAAGATTAAAAATAAATTAGAGGTAAAAATAAAATAAAAATCAGGAAATAGTTTACTACTTTTTATACATCTCACGTGCTGTGATGTAGAAACATGCGCATCCGACAATTCGGTGCCTTTTAGGTTTTAATTGATAACCAATCAATACCACATGCCAATACCCATTTGGAAAGAAATTAGAAGTATATATTATTTGATTGAATGTGACTGCCTTTCATGACCATATTCACCAACTTAGCATTTGGATGTTTTTGCCCCATTGGCTACGCTTTGGTGTTTTAATTGAGACATGTGTCACCGTCCACTAATATCGACCGACAAATCCGATGTAATTTGCATTTTTTTTTTCTATATCTATGCTGCACAGTGATGGGAATAAAAGGAGATTTACAACATGGAATTCGAGGAAAAATTATAATTGGAATTGGAATTTTTACTTCCAAAAGGCAAAATTGGATTCAACTTCTGCATTCCACTCAACGTATTATTAATTGGTCAAATCCGACACCCAAATTTTGAAACGAAATTGGACCGTTGAAGGAAAAGCAATTTCCAAGAACGATACGGAGGGGTCCACTCCTAAAATTGACATATGGGCCAAGGGGGAGGTGATGGCGGTTTGTCTTGTTTGTTACTTGTTCAACTTTACTCACGAAATTCCGTGTGATTAGTCCAAAAAATACACAACAAAAGGCAGCACCAGCACTGCATAAACTTGTAAGAATAATACAGGCACAAGGTGAGCAGGCTTTGGTTGGATGGTTACAGCCAATTTCCCACAAAAGTGGGTGGGACAAGAATAATTGTAATAAACATTATAGTATGTATGTATTATAAACAATGAGTTGGTATGACTAGGATGGAAAGAATATCATGTTCATTGTTCCTTCATATGTCTGATCCCATCCCCAAGCTGAAAGACAAACAACAGACAAGAAAAACAAATTCTCGGGGGAATGTTTCCGTCGGAACAAGTAAGCGTCTCTAGAATAATGGGGATTTTTTAAATAAAGAAAAAAAATCACATTTTAAACATTCTGATTACTGAACAACAAAATGGAAAAACCAAAACTTTAGCCTGTGATGGTAATATGATATGATATGATATGATATACCAGCAGTCAACAGATGGGTGTTTCCTCCAGCCTTAAAACATCCAAAATCTGATCACATTCTTCATATTATGAACAGTCTTTGCAACTTGGGTTGCTGCGGTCACAATAACCCAGCCTCGAAGAGATTTCTCCGTCTCAAAGTTTCATCCACGAGCTTGAAAGTTTTCTTCACAAGCTTCTGGTCAAGGGCAGTGGTTCTGTAGATCTTAAAGACCCTATCCACTCGATCAGGGGCTGTGCTTTGAAAATATAACTCCTCGAATTTCTTCTTTACAAACCTGAACAGAAAGAGAATAATAAGTGGTCGTACAATGAAATTCCTTCTTCTCAAGGACGGGAAGATAAATTGCTTACTCATATGCATGCTCAATCTCTTGTTTTCCCGTTGACACTGGCTGGTAATCTTTGAACCACTCGCATACATTTAGTGGAACCTAGAGAATGTAGAACGTCAAAGACCAGACCAATGCTAAATTATCAACATAAGATAAATGTATACTGTTCTACTGGCCTTACTTTTAGAACCTTCTTTTCAAAAATGTCAAATTTGTTTAGAAACAGCATGAAGGATGTTTTCTGCACAATAGAAACAAGTTTTTACATTAAGAGATATTCCAGCTATAAGCTATCCTCAACCTTGTAAACATACAAAGAGCATAATATATAGCATAAAGAAAACCTCAAAGCATGGTTGCTTTAAGACCCAATCAAATAGTTCTTTTGTCTCCATCATCCGGTTCTTCTGTTCATCCTCAAAGAGAGTTTGATCATACCTAAAACGGCAAATAATTACCAGGTTAAAATTTCTGCATTTTGACACCATGCTCTAATAGAGAAACAATGTCATATTGTTAGGCATACAGGCAAAAAGGGAATTTACAGATGGCAAAAGCAAAAAGGATCTTACTCGCTAATAGCAGCACAAAATATCACAGCTGTAACTCCTTCAAAAAGATGGATCCATTTCCTTCTCTCATTTCTCTGGCCTCCCACATCAAAGAGTCTGTATACTTCACCACTTTTCTTATTCTCCCCCACAGGGCTGCAGAGGTTGTAGACATGAGCTACTAATACCCAACAAAGTAAATGCAGACAGGAAATTATCCTGCATCTATGATCTAACCATTGATTCAAGTAACCTTACCAAAAATATAAATTGCAAAGATCATGTTGAACATAGAGACATAATTAAATACCTATTTGAATTTATCTATAAAAGTATATAAATCTGAAATGAGTAAATCAGACATCTAGAAGACAAAAACACAGTTCATTTATTAGGGCTAACCTAGTTCTTACATTAATGCACTTTCACAGGCAAAGGAGAGATTACAAAGAAATATAATTCACCTGAACTGGATTTCTACAACACCAGTTGTACGAACTCTTGCATATAGAACATCATCCTACAATATGAAAACAGATTAGGAACTAGATGGACAGAACTAGAAATTCTGAAATGTATATTTTATACACCTTTCAGAAATAACTTCAGAAGAGAAGCTACCATGCAATGCCACCGACAGCTTCCATGTTAAATAAGCTAATATAGATCAGGCACATAAAATTTTCATTTTCAATGTTTGCTGTATCATGCAGACTCATCTTACTGAGAAGTATTAATTCATATATATGATAATTATTCTGATGAGCTCAATAAATGCATGGCACTACAACTTTTGTATGAAGGAAATATCGCAAAATCTAGATACCTTTGTTGGAATATAATTTGCATCAGACAATCTTTCCAAATTTTCCATGAAATAATTAGTACAATCCGGAACTTGAAGTTCATTACCACGAGCATAGGTTTCCTACAAGTACATGGAGTGAATAAGTACCAAAATGCACCATAAAAAATAAACCTTCTCATTTCAATAGATTTAGTAAATTCCACGGCCCCACAAAAAAATTTAAAAAAAAAACACTAAAAATACACAAGTTAGCAATGAAGCCATTCATGCCATGCATAATCAGCTTATATAGTCTATAGATATAGCATTAGTTACCTGAATTGCAGAATCCTTCCAGAGAGTTTCTATCTCCTGTGCAAGTTCTCTATTTAGAGGTGGATAATCCAACCTGCTTCCAATTACAGACAGTTTCTCTCCAATAACCTGATAGAGAATAGAAAGTTAAAGTATTATTTTGACAACAGATAAAAAATGATTTATTAAAAAAAAAAAAGAGAGAAAAAGAAAAGAAAAGAAACCAATCAAAATTGCATTTAATAAACTTTGCAAATACAGTGCAGTGGAAAAATGATGACTTCAAACCTTATTTTCACTGGATAAAACATATTTGGAAGAATCTGCATCATTTTGAGCGAACTCCTTTGATCCATCGTACAGTATCTGTTGAACCATGCAAAGCACAATTTAAAAACATAGATAAAAGCAATCCAATAACAGAAATAAAATTTCTCATCATAGATAACTGACATCAGGCAACATTATATTTTTATATTATACAAAAGGGAAATAACCAACACACCCTCTTCAGGTATTGCGTACTTTTATAGTCTGGTAGATGTTGGCATGTATGACTGAGATATAGCTCTTTAGCTCTGCCTCGTCAAAGCCAGTTTGGAATAGAAGCTTTATCTGCACACAAGTCATGTAAAATAAAAGATAAACATATCAGCATTATCAAGAACTATGAAATACAATTCAATAAAGGGCCAATCAATCTGTCTTGCCTGCTTAAAAATTGTTGACTTCCCAGATTCACCAGCACCTTAAAAACAAAAGAATATTTGAATCATTTATAGAGCAAACCAAAATAAAGAAAGAGGATTAGAGAGTTAAAAGCATTAAAAGAACAAGAAAAACAAACAAAAACAAAAGCAAAAGCATTGCAGCAAATCAGCAGGAAAAATTTAGGGTGCTCGACTGCTTATCTCAATTTTTAAGAATGCATAGATCAAACATTCTTTGATTCTAAGCTAGGAGTAGGAAAAACATATTAAGCACCTAATGCCCATCTGAGTAACCTACTGCAATTCTATGCAAGTGTTACCACTTGCCACCGTCTTGGTTGAAAACAAATGAAAATAGTGCAATGCAGCCATCAATACAAACAATTAAGTAGTACTTGATAAAACTGATATGCAAATATAAGTCCCTAAGGACCCTAACTTAGCATAAACATTTTCCACACACAAAAAAATAAAAGCATGTAGCATTTAATATAATCATTTCATTCCCATAAATTTTGGGTTATGCTGAATAGAAACCTTGAATGATTAAGCATTGATGTCTTCAACCATTCAAATATAAGAAGAATTTTAACACAGTGAAAATATGAAAGCACATAACTCGTTATTTTACAGACAAATAGGCAAGGAACACAATCTAAGTTGTACACACCAAGTAGTAGAAGCTTCTGGATATGCTTTTCAGCCTTCGTTTCTTGTTCAATTCTCCTTTCAATTTCCGCAGCCTGAAAATGTACAAACTAGAAATTAAACTGAAACCTTTATATTATGTAAATAAAACCATATCCACACAGTTTTATATTATGTAAAAGGTGATAGACAATGTACGTAAACTGTGTTCACCTGTGCATTCTCCTCAGAATCTGCTTCAGTGTATCGACGGTTCTTGCTGCAGAGTAAGCCCATATTCTATAGAACAGTAGTCAGCATAGAAGATACATGAATCAAGCACCAAAAGGCATCTTATGGACCCTTGCCTCCTACAGTATTTGCTAATAATGTATTTAAGCCAATAATGATTACAGTGGTCTCCCCTAAAAGAGATCCTTAAGTTAAAAATCAAGAAATTACTTAAATTAACTTCAGAAACTTTTTAGCAAGGCAAAATCATAAATCATAAGAAAATTCTAATCGTGGAAACATGGATTAAATGTCCTGAAATCCGGTTATGAACAAACTCATATGATCAGCAGCCAAAACATTGCAAAAAGAAGAAACATAGATTATATTCCCCACTCAGATATAAGACTGCAACTCGGTGATCAAATTCCATGTCACTTCACGTGAATCTACAAACTTAATGAGAACATGTCATCAAAGCACATGTCGACGTGATAGAGAACAATTAATACACCATACATGAATGACCATTTCTATATTCATCATTTACCCACACAATCAATACACCCTCCTTTAGATGTATACGAAGTTTTGGACTTTACTACCTTCCTTCACCGCATAATTCTCATGCCTCCCCAACTTATACATGAAAAATTAGAATCAAATTAAACAAACTAAAGTGCTCAATTTTATCAAACAAACTAAAATTACAGTCTCACTGCACTTCATAACTCACCAATTTAGCAAGAACTAGCCGTTCACCATTTCAGTTTATCAGAAAAACTCACTTCAAAGAAACAGTAAAACACACACATGTTAGAAAAAAGAAAACCCAAAATGTTAAAACAATCAAAACACCAAATGAGCATAGCTAAAATCCTCCTGATCTAAACACCATAAAACCAACAAAAAGATCTCCGAATTCAAGCCGAAGAAACCAAAAGATCTAAAGAAAAAGAAAAAGTTTGAAACTTCAACAAAATGCAAACACAAAAAAAAAAAAGGAAGAAAGAAACTTACCCAATAACCAGAAAAAAGGTCTGGTGAGGTTAATGGAGAAAAAGGGTTGGCTTTAGATTTGGACAACTGGGGCAGGGAAGGGCAGGAAAACAGAGTGAGAGAGAGGGTTAAAAAATAAAGCTTTTGCTTTGTTTTTTTGCTAAGATGGATATGTTATTTTATTCGTAGTAAAAAAAAACGTTTGAAACTTTGGTTAAGCTTGAGCGTGAATATATATATAAAAAAAATATAAGAGATTTTGGAGAGGTGAGCAAGGAAGAAGAGAGATGGAGAAGCAAGCAAGGAAGAAAGAAAGAGCGCCGAAAGCTGCCAAGGCTTTGGCTTTCGCTGCCTTCTCTTTCTCTCTATCTTCAGTCAAAGTTAGAAAGATCTATACCTTCTTATAATAGAAAATCTTAAAACAAAAGAGAAAAAAAAAAAAACTTCTATTTATATTAGTAGAATATAGTATTTTGATATGATGAGAGACAGTATGGAATAGGGTTCTTGGAAAAATACAATACGCGCTTAGACTTTGACTCTGCTGCATCAGCTGTTTTGCTGCAATTGCCTTTCTTTTTCCTTTGCTTTTCCCTCTGATTCTCTGTGTTCAGAAAGTCTCGAATATCTTCCCACATTTTGACCAAAGAAATGAACTTTTTGTTTATTATTATTATAAAGAAATTATTTTTTTTCCTGAAAGCAAAAATAACAAATTATTTATGATATAAATTTAATAATTCGTATATTTATATTGTAAAATTTATATTTTTATATAATATTTTATATAAAAATTATAAGTTATAATTTATAATAATATAAAATTATTTTTTAAAATTTATTAAATTTATATATAATAATTATTAAAATTTTAAATTATAATATTTTAAAATTATATTTTATTATATTTTAAATTATCAATTTTACTGTTAAATAATTTAGAATGGGTGGGTGATAAACAATTTTTTATCTTTCAAAAGATTTGTTTGGGCCAATTTTTTAGTGTTTATTTTCCAAGTGAATTCATGGTTCCTTGAATCGTGATTCAATTCAGTTTAAGAAGATTCTTTGTATCAAGACATATAAATATTTTTAAAATTCAATGATAATAATCTTAAAAAATGTCCTTACAAATTTTTTTATCAAGAGAATTTAAGAAAATAAAAATAATTGAGATGAAACTTATATCTTAAATATCTTTTTTAAAATTATATTAAAAAGTTAAAAGGTAATGTCCTTGCTCTGTTAAAAGAGGAGGGAACTGAACTCTCCCTGGCTACATCCACATTCAAAAAAATTGGTCATAAAGAAAACAAAGTTAACTTCCTTAATTTGTAATATTTAAATAAGTAAAAAAATTACATTATTTAGCACAAATATAATAATCTGTAGAAAATGTAATCTTCCAGGGAGCTATGTTATCTATGAAAATTATGTATTTATTATTATGTACTTGAAAAAAGCAAAATGTAACATCTAAGAGACTGTTAATAATTAACACAAATACTAATAGAAAATTTTTTTTTCTTTGCTTGGTATTTGATAATGGGGGGATAAATCATAAATCATTTTTGAGAAAGCACAAGTCAGTGATTGTACCTTAGACTCTGCATATAAGAGACTGCATGAATCATTGGGTAAAGGCCAATGGCTCTTGAGAGGTTTAGAGAACTTTTGTTTCATTTACTTACAAGTTTCTCTCTGCTCAAAAAAGATTAAAACAACTCATATAAATATAATTAACTAACTAGTAAACTATGGCATATGGTAGTTAATATGTAAAAGGCCATGTGAGATTAAAGGCACAAGTTTTGGTTTTTGGTGTATATTCTGGTAAAAGCATTGAAAAGAAATGAGAGTTTATGATAGTTGTGTTTATCAAACTAGCTGGATTGGGAAGACAATAATAGGAAATGGTTACAACTTACTAGCTTCAATTTGAAAAATTCCAGCCTCAGCTTAATTATAACCAACCATAAGGTTTAAAGTCTTAAACCTGTCAAGATGTCAAAGATAATTAGGAAAAATCAAAACCAGGAATTCAGAGGCTTTCCTTGAATATTCCAACAACATTACATAGAAATTTACAATTATATAGGGATTAGGTAGCATAAAAATTATAATCAAGATCAGGACCCACATAGGAAGTTCTTGACAATATTGTTGAACTGTGCTGAGTTCTCAATCTGGGGTACATGAGATGTGTTCTGTATTACTTCCAGCCTCGTCTTCTTCCCAAGAAGCCTGAAATCCCCAATTAGCCAAAGGAAATTCATTGTTTAAGCTAACAGCCTTTTCCAATAAATACATTAATCATGAAAAAATTTTGCGGATGTGAAGCCAAGTAAAGGGTGTAGTGTGCATACTCCTTGATTTCATAAGCCATCTTCAAAGGGAAAATCTGGTCTTCATCTCCCCAAACTAACAGGACATCCTAACAGACAGGCAAATAAAATGATAAGCAGCAAAATATTAACAATCAATGAAAGTTAAATAACTATAATATTATTTGAATTTCAAATCTTGCTTTCAAGACTTTAAGAAATTAAAAGAAAGCAAATTTTAGGTGAAATGTACAAGAAGAATGCTCAAGTGCTAAACAGTTTTTTATTAAAAACTTAAACCAAGTTTTGCTCATTAAACACTAGATTCTAAAATTAAGTTAGGTCCTGCTGTTGGTAATATTGATATGAAGAAGGAAATTTTGCAGATATAATTTGAGGATGGTTAGTGAAAATGGTGGTGGAAATGTGTACCTGTTGAAGTGGAGCAAGCTTGACCGTATCATCACCAACGACAAGGGTCAGTCCGCTAAGAAGTTCCATTTTCTCCTCTCTGTTTTCTGAGTACAGTTGCTGCAATTGCATGAAATTAACTACACTTGGAAGAAAATACTATAGTTGATCTAGTAGCATGACAGCTTTAATTTGCTTTCTTAACCAGACAGAGACATTACACTTAACAAAACAGATAAAAATAGAAAAAAAGAATTTGCCTACTACTACTATTAGGCCCTTGGGAAATAAGATTTGAAGCTAGAAATGGAAGTGGAACCCAGCTAAGCCCAGGAAGAGCTAATGAAGAAACAAAATAAGAAGGAACACGCCTGGCAGTTGGATTTTGGAAAATTTTCCTGGAAAGTGCAAATAAAGAAAAGGGAGCTATTTATAATTTACCTTACCTTGATATTAAAGCCAAAATGGGACACATTCTTTATGTGTATATATTAATTAATTCAAGATCGCTCACAGGTAGGAACTGATCTCCATAATTTAGCTGAGCTCTCCCTATCCCCTTTTCCCTCATCTTCATCAAAGTTCTCTTTTTTTTCCCTTTTACTAGCATTACTTCTTACTCCAAAGATCAAGATTCAAATCTGGTAAAGCTTGTTCTGACCCCAAGTTATAACTTTTTTTTTGTCTCGTTCTCCAAAAAATATATTTATAATATACCACATTTTTTCTCATTGAACCAGAAAAATATTCATGAATCATTATCTTCAAGCCTGAAATAGTTGGTTATCTTCCAAGAAATTCTTGTTTTCAATTAATTTCTCTTGACCTAACCTCCAATTCTGTTTAAGCTACTTAGAACAAGCACAAGAGGAAGAATATACTAGTTAGCAAAAGGGCATATCTAAATCTCTTACTAGCACAAGAAGTCATATCTCAGCCTTTTGTTTTTATTTTTTAAATTTGTTCATACTGTTTCATATTAAGTGAAGAAACATGATGATTAGTCATTCCAGAAACACTTACTTTGACAACGTCATTCCAGAAAAAATCAGGAATCATGTTCAACCGCTTGGAAACGGCCAAACGAGTTAAAGTCCTTAACTGAGTAGCCGTTTCCGGAAGCATAATCTCCTCAATAGTCACCACATTAGCTCTCTTCAGCAACGCCATGTTATCTGCTTTTCTCATATTAACTCCAGAGCTCGCAATCACCACTTTCTCCACCTTGTTTGGACACATTTTCGCCATGTTATACGCCACAAACCCTCCATAGCTAGTCCCTAGAACATGGTACTTCTTCACTTGAAGCTTTTCCATCAACTTCGCGATCGAAACAGCCTGGAAAACCTCAGACCTTTCCTTGGACTTTGTCGTGGAATTCCCGAAAAAAACCAGGTCGGGCACATAGACATGGAAGTATGGGGTAAAGAACTGGACCTGTCGGCGCCATTGCCAAATAGCGCTGGGACCGAACCCGTGAAGCAAAACCAACGCGGGTTTTTGTTTTTGGGCTGTTTGATCAGGCTTTGGAGCCCATAAGTGGATGGTGGTCTCGTTGTCTATGTCAATGGATTGTGCAGTGAGGCCAGAGGTGGCAAAGCATCGGCGGAGATAGATGCTGTATAAGGAGACAAAGCTGAGAAAAGAGGGTGCCATGGCTGTTGACTGGTAGAGAGAAGAGCTTTAGCCTTTCAAGCTAAGCCTTAAAAGGAAAAGAGAACAGGAAGGCGAGTTAGTACTGACTTTTTGGAAGGCCTATTTATCGGGAAAGGTGCTAACAATATTTTTCCTTTTTCAGGTTTTATGATGTGTTGTTTTCTTTCTTGGTTTGAATACTAAATTTATTTAGGTAGCGTTAGTATTATTTTTAAGATTATTGTGTTGATTTAATCATCATTGTCATAAGATTGTTAAAGTGATTTTATCATCAGTAATCTTAAATTATTTGATTTGGTAATACTATCTATTACTATTAATCTTAAATTGTATTGTTTGATATTTTATAAAAAAAAAATCATAAAATATAAAATATTTAAAATAATTTTGTAAAAAGAAAAACAAAAATTAAATATTTATTAAATTAATAATTTATAAAATAATTAAATATTATTTTATAAAAAACTATAAAATATAAATTAATTTTTAAAAAATTATTAAATAAATTCATTTTATTTTTAAATTAATAAATATTTATTCAATTGTAAAAAAAAAAGCCTTTTTAAATAAGTTATTAGACAAATCTATTTTTGAAAATTTTTATTGATTACTTTGTTGAAGCAATATTATTCAATTTTTCATCAAAATAAATTAAGTAAAAATAATATTAAAATTATTTTCTCAATGTTGATAAAATTTTTTTTATTTCTTAAGTTAAGAATCAAATTACTTTCTAATATATTAATCTTATTATCTTAGTGATTTAAAATTATTATCATATAAAATTATTAAATTACTATCAAATAAAGGAATGTCATTATCAAATATAAATTATTATAATTTTAAGACTAATTATTTTATAGCAAACGTTCTCTTTTTAAAAAAAAAGTGCAAAACAAAAGGTATCTTGTTTTTTGAAAAAAATTACGATCAAAATTATTGCTGTTAATTACATTAAAAAGATAAAATTTTAATACAAATAAAATAAATAATTTAAAATTAAATTTTTATACCCATTATATCAAAGTTTTGGGAACAACCAAAATCATTGTCATTTTCTTGTAGTCTGTCAACTAATATCGGTTCCATTTGGAGAGCGTAGTGGAAAATCCTGGGAAGTCATTTCGTGTTGATTTAGTAAATTAAGTAAAGAGCATAAAAATAAATAGATGCCGCATGGGTTGGTTTGGTTGGTTTTCCTTTACGTCGGAGCGATGGTGACCCGCTCACCAAACACCCTTGTCACGACTTTATTATAATCAGAATTCAGAAAAGCAAAGCTTTGGGCAGGGGCGAGAAAAAATAAAATAAAAATTAATTTAAAATTACAGTATTTGGTTTAATCTGAATCAATTTATTTTTTATTTTATTCAAATTAAATTTATATATTAAATTAATTTAAAAAATCAAATTAAATCAAATTTTATATATTTTTAATTTTTTATATATTTAAAATTTTTATATAATAAATATAATAATTTTATATAAAATTAATAAATCAAATTCAACCCAATCAATAAAATTTTATTCGATAACTTTGAGATTATAGAGGTTGCGATTTCCGTTATACCAAAGACATAATAAATAAGTGGTGTTCATTGCCTAGCTAGGACCAGAACGTAACTTGCATTACCGCCATCTATATTGGATTTTAATTGTGGAAATTTTTTCCCATAACTCAAACAGGACAGGATCTATACTTTTCAAGACCAGGGTAGATAGGAGTGTGCAGGCAAAAGGTCATTTTGGATCTGGGTTATCAGATTAATTAACAGCAGCATTCATGTAATTTGCAGGTCGTGCATCCATCCAAAGTTATGGCACAGTTCATCATATAAATCCTTTTCTTATATATTAGTTTACAAATATAAATAGTCTTTGTTTCTTTATGTTTTGGCTACAAAGAGAGCAACTAAACCTACTAATACTAAACAACCGTCATTGACCTTAAACCTGATTATCATCTTCTTGATTAAGTTGATCGACCATTTACGTTATCGAGAGATGTCAAATTAGAAAATTTTATCCACGTAAACAAGTGAGATATTTGAAGGGGAAGTTGTAGTTTTCATGTAGCAATAGTTTTTGGTGGGCAGGACAGGTTGTTATGCTAGACAAATAAGCTGCTGCCGCTGGAGAACACGACATATTTTCCTTTCCCTGTGTAGCAGAATCAACTATTCGGAATACATCGAACTTTGACATCAATTGCCAAACCTTATTTTAGTGCACAGTATCATTACTTATAGGTTCAAAAATCTATAGTTATAAAAAAATTATCATCAATTTTTTTAATATGTAATTAGTCACTTAATTAAATCTGTTTTTTTTTTAAATCTCAATTTAACTTAAGTATCTTTAAAAGATAAATTTATATTTATAAAATTAAAAATAAATCTGAGAGTATGATTATATGCGAAGAAAGATTATATCATCCTCTTAAATCTCATTAAATGATGATACTAATTTGATTTCATATTATCCAAATTTCAAAATGTGTTTGTAATTTACCTAGTAAGTAAAATATTGAAAATTATTTTTAAAATTACTCCAATCATTTAGTAGTAATTTGAGATAATTTTTTCATTTTATGAATATTCATGGAGAATCGTGTCTCATTTTTAAAAATTTTATTGTCAAATTCATTAACATATTTTTCAAGAAATCATATTTTTTTTTAAATCAATCAATAAAATCCTCAAATCGTTTGGTAAGATTTTATATCAATGCATATCTTTCAATCGTTTAGTAAGATTTTTATTTGAAAACTTTCTTTATGAAAATTAAAAAAAAAAAATTGTCATTAAAACTTTCAATAATTTAATAAGATTTAATTCAAAATTTTAAATCATCCTATCATTGGTATAATTGAAAAATTACTTTTTGAAAATTCATTATGAAATTTTCTAATTGTTCGCTAGAATTCGTAATTCAATATTTAAAATTTTCAATCATTTTGTAAGAATCATGAATTTATTATAAATTTTATTTTAAATATGCATAAAAAAAAAAAGAAATAATTATATAACATAAATAGATATACAGATAAAGAAGGAAAAAATAAAAATTACCTTGTCTTCTTTCTTATTTTTCTACGAAATAGCCTATGGTTTTATTAGTGCCCTCACCAGCGGAGATTATCTTTTTTTTTTATGATTTAAAGAAAAATCAAACAAACACTTAAAACATATATATTCAAAATCCTCGAAAATTTTATTGCAAAAACTTTTTGTCGAATGCCTTCCTTTGTATTTCTGCTCAACTTCTTTCTTCAATACAGAATTTCTAAGAGAAAATTTTAATTATCTAAATTCAAAACACCAGAAAATATTATAAAATAAATTCTCAATTTTTTTGTTTTTTTTTTTACTTTTTCTCTCTTGATTTTTTCTATTGATTCTTAATTGTATCTAATTTATCATAATAAAATATTTTTATAAGCATATAATCTCAATTACAATAGAAAAAGAGTTTTCTTAGTTTGAATCTTCTAATGAACTTAAACCTTATATTTTAATCCAAATCCACCTCTCAAATTAATTCTCTTTTATAATCCTATTTTAATTAAAACACTTTCAATTTAACAATCTTAAAATTAAATCTTCTTCAAGTTTCAGCAAAATAATTATTTTATTTTTTATTTTATTTTAATAATAATAATAATAATAATAATAATAATAATAACTATAAACTAAATATAATATCAATAATAAATAATACCAATAATAACTCTAAACTAAATATAATATCAATAATAAATTTAAAAAATTCAAAACTTAATCTTAAAATATAAATTGAATGGGATGTTTACCCATATCGCTCGTAATGTAACCTGTTCTCTTAATCTTCTCATTCACTGAATTTAACCTCTCGGGAAGAAGAACCTCCCCAACCTTATCTAACTACCTGATATAATGCCCTTCATTCTTCAGGGGGAAAAAAAAAAGAAAAAGAAAATCTGTTATGAAGGGCATATCTAATGATAGCAACAGAGAAGAATCTCAAGGATTTAGCTACCTGCAGATACATTTATATTATAGTTTTATATATAGTCCAATCTCAATAGCTTGCGGTTAATCTAATTATCGACGAATCCATCAGAAGTCCCTTTGTGACCGTTGCTAGGACAGGGATAGGAAAAAGGAAGAACATTGTTTTTCTCAGTGCCCAAGGTCAGCCATCTCTCTTTATTATCAAACCAATTTAATTTATTGAAGTAATCTGATCCCTATATTAAACTAAAACCAACCAAATGAGATGTAAAAGCCTCGAAGGAGAGATTTTGTTTCAATAAGCAGCACAGATTGTGATGCTAGATTATCAAGTAACCACAATTTTCTGCTGCAAAATGTGTCATGGACATTTTTTTATCCCATGCTGCGGTGTGAAATGTGAATTGTCAATGAACACTTTAAACTCCCATCAGTTTTCCTTACAGTTACCAAACTCAGCAAAGTATGCATATATAAGCTAGCTGTTATCTCAAATCTGCCATTTACTCAACAACCTTAGCTAACTACCTAACTCTTCTTATTAATGTAGTAATGAATAGCAACGCATCATTCATGCTACATTTGGATGGGCGATGGGAATCCCTTCCCACCGGCCATGCAAATGATGCATTAGTCTAGAATGAAAACTAGTTAAGTCTGCCAGATACATGTATAATTGTATAGTCAAAATCCGACCCTTTTTGTGTTCATCTTCCACTAATCATTAATAAAACCCATCAAAAGCTTCCGCTGTATGCAGCGGAAAGAACAGAAAGAAAAGGTGGGACAGAGATACCTGTTCAATGACAACTTGTTTCTTTTATTATTTCCTAACACACCAATGAGACACGTGGAGATTACCCATTTATTTATTGGTTTAAAGTTTTAAGATTTTCAAGCATTTTCAATTTATGTTTAATTTTCCACAGGAAATTCTTTTTCTCTTTGTAGCATTTGTAGGGAAGATGAGGCAACAAAATGATCCAGTAACCCCCTAGGGAAAAAACATGAAAATTACCCAAAATTCAATCTCTTTGTTGACAACTGCACCAAGTTTAAGTACGAAAAAAATGAAAGAACAGTGAATATTTGGAAAAGAGACACCAACAGTATCATTTTCAGCTTCTTAAATCAAATAATTTCATTGTCTTTCTAAAGCATAAAGCCTTCTAGAATTGTAGATATATACCTACTACAAAGTACAAGCCCTGATTTTCCATTCATATAGAAAATGATAGATTTGACCAAGATGGCTCCTTCTCTTCTTCCTTTTGGCCACAAGAGGCATACAGCCTTTTTTTTTTTTTTTTTTGGCATTTATCGACCATAGCCATCGATGAAATCTCCAATGAAATCATATAAAACCAAACCAAAAGATGTAATTATCAGCAACTTTGTCTAATTTCAATTAAATCATAAAAGTATGTTACTTGATCAATTTTCTAATATTTTAAAAGCCGCCCTCATCATGGCTGACCTGTGGCAGCCATGGTGTTCTCTGGGTTTTTCTTTCTTTTTTTTTTATAACATTAATGTCAACATAAGTGACACTCAGCACAGTAAAAAAATTTGGAATTTTTATGAACTTGGCCCTCCAATAGGACAGTTTTTAAATTTTTTATATATTTTTTTCTGGTAAATAAACCCATATGAATTATAGGAGGAGTATATGTTAGTAAAAACAAGTGGCTGGTAATCTGGTATTACTTGAAAAATGAAAGGCAAATTAAGTTCAATTAATTATCGTCATGTGGAATATAAATTGGTGTATAGTTATGTCCTAATTGTCTTTATCATTATTATTATATTTTTACGCAAGACAAAGAAAGGTGGTTGTTGGTAGATTGATTTGTTCATCCTTTTTGACCTATTTGAGCAAAAATGCACAACATAAATGAGTTACATGATTTTATTGTCTTTAATATTATTTCATTTACTGTAAATTCCGCTCCACAAGCGGAGTTAGTAGAGTAATACATATTACTATATTAAAAAAATAAAAATAATTAAAAACAAGATATATGTCGATTTTTAATCTCACTTATAAAGATATATGTTTTTTTTTTTTAATTTAAATTTTTTTTTTGTTTATCTTATCTATATGAAGTCATGTTTTGAAATAATTTTGATGCTTGCCACAATACCCTTTCTTTTATATATTTCATTTGTGAAGTTTTTAGGTTTAGTTAGCCAAATGAAAGGGTCAAAATTAATGTTCTAGAAGCAATTGTGTTTAATTGATATAGCACGTTCTTGGAATTTGATGCTTGTCCCCTAATCCTCCACTTAATCCAAAAACCTTAGGGAAATGAAAGCCTTAACCATATAATTATTTCATGTGATTATGACATAATATTACTCTTAATTTCCTTTTGGATTTACACTAATTGGCTTGCACTTGGAGTTCCAATTGCTTGCAGACAAAAATTACTTTTCACTTTAGATGTTTAAGCTTCCTAAATGTTTACTTGTCCATTTTATCTTCAAACACCAAAAAGAGAATGACTTGTATGGATAGTACAAGCAAGAGTCAATGCTAGTTGTCCAAATAATTTTATTTCAAATTTTTGTGATCCTGGATATAAAATATAAATTTAAATGTAAAGTCTATCAATTCATAAATGAAATACCATAATTAAATTAAAAATTATATATCATGTTAGAAAAATAAAAACAAGCAGGCTTAGCATATGTTATTCCTTGATTTTTTTATATATGGCAGTCGTTTACGTTGCAGAATTAGCTGAAAGAGTGAAAAAAGAGGGATTTGAACCTTCGATAAACCAAAGTTTACATAATTATTATGACCGATAACACAAGTGAATAGCTAGTTGTGTTGCGTATATTTATTTTTTTCCATATAAATTATAACCGTCAAATATTTCATATTTATAACGGAGGATATGAAGAGAAAAATAATAATAATTGGGGACTTTTTATTTTATATATAGAGGATGTGAGAGGAGTAGGTAAGTGAATGAACTACTATAAAAGTCGGATAAGCCTTCACAAAAGTCCTTAGACCCTGGAAACATTTCCATTTTCTCTCATTTTCTATCATTTCTCTTGGATAATTTTTCTTTGCATTTCACTTGAATTTTTCTGTATAGAAAAGGGACTGTTCTGTTTGGTCTGCAGCAAAACCAAAATAATTACAAATTTGATCAGGGAAGTTTGATAATTGATACAAAGATGACTGTGAAGAAGGTTACATGGAAATCTCTCATGTTAAGCTGTTACAAGAGCAAGAACTCATCGTCTGATTCAAGCGAGAAGATTGTGAAGCCATGTCAATTTCAGAGACTATCGATGTCGGATATAAGCGATCCCAGCACAACACTCTCCGTTGATGATCTCTCAACCTCTCTCGTTGGCTCAAATCTTCACGTTTTTACCTTGGAGGAGCTAAGACTGATAACCCATAATTTTGCACGGTGTAATCTGCTTGGTGAAGGAGGGTTCGGACCAGTTTACAAAGGTTTTATTGATGACAAGCTTAGGCCTGGATTGAAGGCTCAGCCTGTGGCTGTCAAGGCACTGGACTTGGATGGCTTGCAAGGTCACAGGGAGTGGCTGGTAATCATTTTAACCAATTAACTCAGGCATCCAGTTCAAAGTTTCTAAATGCTAATCTTCAATGCTTATGTTCCAAAATTTTTTATTGCAGGCGGAAATAATCTTTCTTGGACAACTGAGGCATCCTCATCTGGTTAAGTTGATTGGATATTGTTACGAAGAAGAGAACAGACTCCTAGTGTACGAATACTTGCCAAGAGGCAGCTTAGAAAATCAACTCTTTAGAAGTATGTAGCTTATTTCAGAAAGTATTTACTTCTTCACTGCATTTATATAGAAATCCTGGATCTAGTACTTAAACTATGTGATACGGCAGTGAGTGAGAGGTAAAATGATTAAAGACAATTGCTATTAGTGATGGTGAAAAGTTTTAGACTTTTCAAGTATGAATGAGATCACATAGGCCAAAAACCAGGTTCAGAAACTAGTGATTCTGATTAATGGTTGCTGTTTGCTGATGTCAAATGACAGAGAAAGCCTAACGATCCATTATTACTAGAAAATATCTATTAAACTATTCATTTCCAAATGTCAAATAAAGGTAACAAGTTGTTCCCATTGCTAACTTCTAATTGTGCATTTGGTCAATTTACAGGGTATTCTGCTACCTTACCATGGTCAACCAGGATGAAAATTGCATTAGGAGCGGCAAAGGGCCTCGCCTTCCTACATGAAGCAGATAAACCAGTGATATACCGGGACTTCAAATCTTCAAACATCTTATTAGACTCTGTAAGCCCTTTTGCTTAGCTCTATGTTTCAATATGCTTTACACAGAAACGAGAACCTAAAAGTCCTACAGTATGGGCTAAGTCAGTATTGAAGTGTTCGATGAAAATAGGTGCAACAATAGTTCTGGAAAGGCTGACTGGTTGTCTTCAATTCTCATTTCAGGATTACAATTGTAAACTATCAGATTTTGGGTTTGCAAAGGATGGTCCAGAAGGAGAACAGACGCATGTAACAACCCGAGTAATAGGCACACAAGGATATGCTGCTCCAGAGTATATCATGACTGGTAAGTTGAATTCAGAAAAAGCAACGAGGCTTGCAGCATATACTTCAAAAATTACTCGTATCTTTTTTTTTTTTTTCTAACTTAAACAAATGCTTATCAAATTGAACTTCTTCATTGGTTTCAAAGTCAAAGCAACAACTGACCTAACCCAATTTTATATGTTAATTTCAGGTCACTTGACAGCAATGAGTGATGTGTATAGCTTTGGAGTAGTTCTCTTAGAGCTATTAACAGGAAAGCGATCAATGGACAACACCCGCCCCAGTCGAGAGCAGAGCCTTGTAGAATGGGTAAGGCCACTGTTAAGGGACCCTAAAAAGCTTGACCGGCTAATAGACCCTAGACTCGAGGGACAATTTTCCAACAAGGGGGCTCAAAAAGTAGCTGCACTGGCTTACAAATGCTTGAGCCACCACCCAAAGCCAAGGCCCACAATGGGCGATGTGGTCAAGATCCTGGAGTCTGTACAGGGGTTTGAGGATGAATTTATTGAACCATTTGTTTATGTGGTGCCAAATGAAACTGACGATAGCAATGAATTTTTTTCAAAGAAAGAAATTAAAAGAAGTGAGGAAGAGAAGGATAGCAATGGAGAAAATGGACACAATCCACTTCGTCGTAGCTGGAGAAATCGGATCAAATTGCCTCTTTCTTTGGTAGCCAATGCCGAATCTCCATGTAGCATCAGTATTTGAGAATTTCATATGGAGGAACAGGATACTACACTACATGGTTGAATTCATCTATTTAAGCTGTAAATACTGTCAAGGCAGTTCCAGGAACAGCGAAAGGAGCAACAGAAGTAGAAATATTTAGTGGAAACAGCTTGGATTGGAGTATTAAAAAAATCACATCATTACAGCATAAACACATTTAGTTCTAGAATTCAAAAATGTTTGTTTTAAAGTAGAAAATAATATTTGAAGGGCACTAGAAGAACTGAAGTGTTCATGAGTTGTTCTGTTAGCTTGGTAATAGACGAAAACAAAAGATCTTTGACTCAATTTCGCAGGCAAGATATTATTCGGTGTTTTGAATGAAATATAGATATTATTGCTACAATTTGCAGTCCTTTATTGTCAACAGGGGTGAATTTTTTTCAAGCAATACTTTGAACTGCATACATTTCCATCCTGTTTTGTATTGAAAGAAGAATAGACATAAACCTAACACGTAAACTTCATTTTAATTGCTCCTAACTTGAGAATAGACAAAAACCTAACCTAGATTTTAATAATAGCAGATAAATTTCAACAGCCTCACAGTAAACAAAATCGCAGTGGCTTGATTACATCAATGCAAGAAAAATGATTGGAATTTTCAACAACCACTCACAGGCTGGCCCTCCAAACTCATTATATACTTCAAAATTTTCCTAGACTCGTTTTATATTGGTTACCAGTTTCTTGTAGAAGTTGGACATTTCGTGTGACTTATGGGAACTAATCATTTATTTTCTAGGTTGTAAGTTAGTTTGTCTTAATCTTAGCAAACTACATCATTATCACTGTTAATTACTGATTAGTAGTATTAATTAACAATCAAATGAGTGCTTTACAGAACAAAAGTTTAGTTTAACTGATTGATACAATCATTTTTAAAAGATAACATTTGATAAATTTGATATTCAAATCTTAGCACCTATAATCGCTTTTTTAATTCCGAGATTATGTCTTCTTAATTCCGAGACTATATCTTTCTTTGTACCAAAAACTGAGTGCTTTACAAATGGCTGTAATGGACATAGATGGGAGGTATCAATCCACAGCAAAGCAGAAACCAAATATTGTTGATTATATTTATCAGAAAAGGGAATGTTCGCCAGAGACTAGAATTTTGTTGGCAAATACATGCACCTTTGTCCTTTGGCTCGTAAATACAAGAGAATTAGTCCATAGAAAGAGCATCAGAAAAGCAGCAATGAGAATTCTAAAATCCCAAAGTCCAATCCTTCCACTCCAAATGCAAGACAATTGATTATGAACCTGGAAAGAGTCCAACCAAGCCTGTCTAGAAGGTTGTGTAGCAATTTAGAAATCCAAAGATATCAAGAATAGTTATCGAAGAAGAGCGGCAAGAAAGTTCCAATTATGACACGGCATGCTTCATGTAATTCTGGGTTAAAGAATGGTCGTTTTCGAAAAAGCTGACCGTTGAATAATAACTTTATTGGCCATCTTCACAGTTCACATCATCGCATCATCGGAGTATGTCAGTCTGGGATTAAGACAAGTTGAAAATGTTAAAAAAACAAACTCCTTGTTCCAGTTTACAGCTGAATTCTCAGACAAACCGAAACCCATTCTCTGTTAGAGCCGCCTCTGCCCTGCATAATTGACCATGACTTAGTCATTTCTCCCCTATTATTATGCTGGCAACTTTCTGGGGGTAAATCCCTTGGGCCTTGACCATTTTGATGAGCTGAGATGTGAACCTCTTCCCACGAGGCCGCCATTTGATAAGGAAGTAACTAAACCAATAGAGAAAAGTCCCAAATTCATGACATAATCAGTCTGTTTTGCAATTTGCAAATTCTGCATCGCATTATTTTGTTTTTACTTAAAATTTTCAGGATTGAAATCACTGTTGGATTATTAATTTGTACTATCAAGGGGAAAAAAGAGTTGTTATGTAAACCCAAATAAATCTAATTGATCGTTGCTGTTTTTGGTACATTGATCTCAGATGCAATTTGTGGTATCAAGATCAATATTAATGAGTCTGACAATAAGCTTCTGTACCATTCCTGATTGACAGTAAATTATTTCCCCAAAACCTACAGTTTGAAGCAATGATTGACACTTTTTTACCTTAAAGAGTCAGATGATTGCGTATTAATACATACCATTAGCATCCAATCCAAACCCAGAATTAGACAAAGCCCAAATTCCCAAACTCCTAAACAATAGCCAAAAACACGCCTCCGTTGAACGACATAATCGCCAGCATCAACAAATACTCCACAGCCGAGCTCAACCCGAAAAGCACCCCTACACTTACCTCTATTTTAGGATGAACAATTCTATCAAATAGATCCATAACAAGAATTTAATGTCCATTTGCCCTTTTAAATCTTCAAAACGTGCGAACAATGTTGAACAATAATATATAGCCAGGTTTCATGATAAAGCATATTTTCTAACCACTGTATCAATTTTCTCGTTGTCATCATCTTGAACCAAACTACAACGCAGCCGATTATCTTATAAACATCTAAGCTTATATCAATGATTAAGAATTCCTATTCACCTTCTTTGATTTTTTTTGAATCACAATACTCAACTTGCTAAGGAATGGGGCCAACAGATTCTTTTCCTATTTGGCCCCAACCATTTATTCTCAAAAACTAGCCACGATTTTCATGCCAAAAATAATGGCGCAACCACCGACCACATGAACTATTGCCAAGGCAACGTAAGGTCACAGTCTAAGGTCCACGGACTCCAATGCCAATCCCCAGATATTTTTCATGGATCTTATCAAGAACGCCCCTATCCTGCGACAGTAGCGCAAAGCAACTGTAAAACAGATATTTCCTCATTCAGGTCCTTTTTTTTTTCACCCTGTCCCTTCATCCTCTCAAAGGGCAGAATGTTACATAACATCAAATAAATGAATAATAATCTATCTGCAAATGGAAAGCCAATAAACAACAAGAAAAAACCATGAGGAAGTTGTATTGATCAGATGTGTGGGCACATGTTTCCTGCAGCTGAAGTTGCTGGCTCTGCACTCAAGAACAAGAAGTACTTCTTGCTCTTAATGAAAACGCATTTATTTCTTTCAGATAAGAATATGAACAAATAGTAATACTCAACGTCACCCAACAAAAAGTAATGCAAAACTACCAATCAAACAGTTGTAAATGGAATGACCTATTTACCAGTCTTTCAATGGTTGGAAAACTTTGAAGGACATTAGTAAGTGTAAGTTTAAAACCAGAATCTGCTCAGGAAATGCATAATTTGATAAATTGATCATTTTATTGAAGGGAAGATTCCAATTTCTTTCATCCAATCCCTTATGTCAAGAAGACGGCAATACATAAACCAAAAACATGACTAATCCAAGTTAAACTTTGCCTACGCAAAATCCAAACAATTCTGAATCTGTTTGCTTTATTCAAAGCCCATTATTCAACTTCATTTCAAACAATACATCATCATCATCTTAAACCTCGCTCTTAACTTCTCCATTTGGCAGAGTGGAAAAACAACTTTTGGATCGAACAAACGAGGTCGGTGATGATCTATTCTTCCTCGGAGAATCCAAAGTTCTTCGAAGCAGATGTCTCATTGCAGAGATCAAATCCTCAGCAGGATTAGCTGGAGGACTCGAAGACTTGAACTGCTCACAAAACTTCATGTGTCTGTCCAATGCTTCATTAGTTGTAATATCTTCCTCCGACCTAACTGTCTCGTCTTTAACCGCCTCCGAACAAAGCCCGCAAAGCCAACGGCCTTCAAACATTTGACGTACCCGAGCAATGTAAGCTGGCGTGCACTCCTCAGTTAACCCGCAACAATCACACTCTGCAAACTCAACTTCGCTTTGGTTGTTTTTATGCTTAACGGACTCCATTTTCTTTGCCGAATTGAAAACCATTGCAGCCATTGAAGTGCACCTGAAAAAGCTATAACAACCAATGAAATTCCGCTCAAAAATAATCAAAACAGAACTTCTTCTCACAAAAAACATACAAAATTCTGAAAAAACAAACCAAGAAAAAAGTTTTGATTTTGTTTGAAACCCAGATGAAAAATTCGTTTATCTCTCTTTTTCCCACGCTCTTTCTTGAAATTTCCCTTGATCAGCAACAAGCATGAGAAGAACCATAAATTTCATATACATCTCACACTCACAGCCCAAATTGGCTCTCTGTCTCTCTTTGTCTCTATTTATCTATTTAATTCAAGAGCAAAATCTAAGTAAAAGAAAACAGTAATGGATATCAATTGTATTAATACAAAAGATTTTGCCTTTCTCTCCGCTAAATGCTTATTGATTTTGTTTTTTGAAAAAAAAGTGAAAATGTATTTATAAGTAGGAAAGGAAAAGTGATACCACCCCAATCATTGGCCTCTTGAAAACCATGTATTATATTTACCTTGACGGTCATTCATTCACACTTTTCCTCCACTCCCCTCACACCATGACTTTCACCCCTTATCCAATCAGATCAAAAACTATATGATTTGGAACATATTATTGGTTAATCTTTTTGTATCGCAATGATTTGTGGAGCAGGAGATTGTAGTCCTGAAGATAAGACCGCCAGCTGTCAGAACAGTTGCCAATCAAACGTGTTCTTTAGAAATTTCTCTTCTTTCCTCTATCTTACGTTTCTCAGAAGCTTTCACCAACTCGTGTCGTTTACTATTGATGGTTTGAATCAAGCCGCCTTGTTTAAAAGGTTGGTAAACTAATCAAATCATTTTTGAACTCATCAAATTAAAAAAAAAAAATTTTGAGTACCACTTATTTATAATTGAGTGGAGTTTGAATTATTTAGATAACAAATCAAGATAAGATTTAATAGTTTAGTTTTATTAATTTAATTTAATTTTTTAATATATAAAAAAATAATAAATATATTCTTTGATATTAGGATTTATAATTTTATCAAATTTAAATAAATTAAATTTAAATGATTCAATTAACTTATGAGTTAAATTTAAATATAAAAAATAAAATTTAATTAAATTCAAATTGAATTTCAATTTTTAAAAATTTTAAATCCAACTGAATTTAAATTTGAAAATGTATCAATTCGCCTACAAATTACACACACCCCTAAATCTCCCATACGAGCGTAAAATCCAAGCTTAACGTGCGCGTGGCGGGCGTCGTATTGGATGCGTAAGTATTTTTGGTATTCTACTACGGTCGCCAAGTATTATTTGTTTAATCATGATTATTTAGGACTTAATTAAGCTATTCTTTCTTAATTATTTTTCTAAAGTTGTTAATATAAACATTAAAAAATGATAGTAAATAAATTATTAGTACAGAAGTTAATTCCTCTTAAATTTTTATTTATATTTTGATTTTTTATTTAAATGAATAATTTATTTTTAAAGTTTTTAAAATCTTTGACTGAAATGATATTTTTATTTCAAATAAACTTTTAAGTCCAATCATCAAAAGATGGTGCACATGTTTTTTAAGTAGTAATGAGTAATTGATCAGTTTGATATGAATAAATCAATAATCAATTTTTATTTAATAAATAATTAAATTGATTGAATATTATTAAATAATTAATTTAATTAAATTGATTAAAATATGTTTGATTCTATTGGTTCAATTAAATAATTAATTTTTTTTGTTATTTTTTATTATAAATAATATTTAATTATAAATTCAATTCAATAAAATTCAAATTCAAACTCAAATATTATTCAAGCTAAATGATTAAATTATTTAATAATTTTAATAATATTTTATAATAAAAAAATAAAAATATTTATCTCAATTTTATTATTTTTACTTATTAAAAAATTAATTAATTCAATCAATTTAATTATCAATTTTAAAAATAAAAAATTAATCAAATTAATTAATTTAACATATTTAAAAAATTAATTATAATTAAAATTAAATAAATCAAATTGATTCAATCCAATTCACTCAATTTTAATTGAACTAATCGATTTAAATTTGCTCACCCTTATCTTCGGATCCATAATCAAAAGTTGTTTAAAAATTAAAAAAAATGCTGCTACTTTAAAGAGAAAAATTTACCAAATTTTCTAAAAATAGTGTTTTGACAACTGCCTTAGATAGACGAAGAGTTGTCTTTCGCCATAGATTTTGTGAGACAAATCAGTAGCTGTAGCTAGGAACTAGCATATTTAATGAATGATGTTATATATACGTTTAGGTACAATGAACACATGGATTATCATATGCTTTGTAATTGAATCATTCTGTAGACATACCATTTACAAAAATTAATCATGACATTTTTTTAATTTATTGAATATATAAATTCAAGATTTAAATTAGTTGATTTATGATTAAAAGATAAAGAGTTTTTGAATTTTAATTAAAAATTTATTTAAATTTTTATTTTTTAATGTAATTAATTAATTTTTTTAATATTTATTTATACTCAATTAAAATTTTATTTGGATAAAAAAACTTAACATTGTTAATTTTTTTTATTTACTAAAATAAAATTTCATGTGATATTATTAAAATAAATAAAATTTTATCACGTAACACTATTAATATATATAAAAATTAAATAAAATAAATTTTTTTTTCTTATTTTCTTTTTCTATATTTGTTTAAAATCCATTTATAGGTTTAATTGACTATACTTTAAAGATTGATTGATTCAATTTTGTCAATTGAGTCAAAATTGAGGATCACTAGTTTTATTGATCGTAATAAAATTTTATATGCTTAAATGAGTATTAAATTTTTATTTAAAGGCTTTTTTTAACTAATTTGTTTTGATTTATTCAATAAATTTTAGAAATATGATATCTAATAAATTTAATATTTAAAATTTAATACTTACAATATTTTTTCTCCAATTTGTAATTATTTGACATATGCTTTGTTTTATTATTTGTTTGTAATTATTTATTTACTTATATCTAATTTTTATAAAAATAATCGAACAGAACAAATTGCATTCCAAGTCTCGTATTCTAAGGTTGATCATGTGCTTGACAACTTATTTTGCTACCATAGAACATGATTAATCAAGGCGGATAATTAATTCGGTACTTGTCTCATTTGATTTAGAACTAGTTTTGAAGTAAATACACTCCCAGTGCGATTTCTTTTTCATCAAAAACTGTGAAAATCGCGTCAAAATGTTATTTGGATTTCAAAGCCCAATATGAGCAATAGCTTTTTTCCACTTAAGTTTTTAGGTACAGTCAAGAAATGCACAATTTTTTCTTTTTATTATATTATAAAGACAAAAATATCTTAATATTTTAATTTTTATTTAAAAATTTTAAAATAATTTTATCAAAAATTTAAGAAATAATTTAGTTAATTTAATATAATAAAAAATATTATTTAACACATTTGTTTTTTAAAATTATTTATTAATAAATAATTTGATATAAAAATAATTTATTAAATAATTTAAAATTTATTACATATAATTTTTAATTTAATACTTTTAATTTTTTCCCATTTATCTCATAATTAGTCGTTACCATTACAATTGTATATAAATATATATATTTTTATCACTAATTTTATTTTTATTATTATTTTATATTTATCGTTCATCCGTATGAATCTTTATTTCACTTTAACTTATAAATTGCAGCGAGTGAGTATTTGGTTAACAGTTAAATCATACTCAACATTTGAAGTTAAGCCGACGTGACGTTGAGTTTGGTCCAACTAACAACAAAAGTAACACTATATTGTGAGATAGCCTGTTCTGTCTATGCTTAAACATTTCTCCTTGCATATTATTCACTACTAGGGATCACTCGTACATTTTTATATTATTCTTTAATTATTTTATTTATGATTTTTAACTACATAATTATATAAAAAATATCAATACGTTGCAATTAGTATTAGTAACGAATCGAGTTGGGATAAGTTTTTGCTTGTCGTGAACTCGATTTGATTTCATAATAAAAACATTCAAATTCAACATGACCTGATTTTTTTAAAATTTTTTTACACTTTCGAATCTGATCAAATATTATATAAATCATATCCGATAAGACACGAAATTAATAAAATATTATTTTTTAAATACAAATATATATAATTATATATAAATAAAAATTAAAAAATAATTTTTAATATAATATTGAATCGGGTTGGATTTGCTTAAAATTCGAATCCAATCCAAAATCGATTTTCTCTTAATAATATCCTACCCAACCCGACCCGAAATCTGAGTTAAAAAAAAAAAATCAATCCTATGTAATTGGGTCGGATTGAAACCTGTGGGATTTAGATTGAACTGATAACCCTAATTGCAACCAGGTTTGTTTAAAAAAATTTCATATCTTATTACGACTACCTAAATGAGAAAAAAACGAAAAATTCATAAAATCGCATTTGATTTTATGTCATATAAATATTATATATTATCAATAAATTATATAATAATATTTTATAAAAAAATTTAATTTTAAATATATTTTTATGATTAAATATATTAATTTTTAAAAATTTTAAAAATATTTTTTTATAATATATCATTATCCAAATTAATGTATAATATTTATATACTAAAATTATATCAAATATAAATTCTTAGTTTACATCAATATTAGATTATTAATTAAATATCATTTGAAATTAAGATAAAGTCAACTCAATTCTGATTGGATTTATCATATTTTATTACGGTGAAATTTATTATATTAAAATTGAATTCAAATATCAATTTTAGTAAAATTAAATTAATATAAATTTTTTATTAAATTTTTTTTTAATATCATTTTATTCAATCTCACCGTAAATATAAATAGAATTTAAAAAATAAAGAAAAAATTATGAAAATAAAAAAAATAAACAAATAAAATAAAATAAGTCAAATTGAGTGGCGAGTCTTTGTTTTATATTTTTGTGGCGGTGGTGGTGGTAGTGCTATTAGCTAAACCCATTTTCAAACAAAAAAACGCAAACAAAGAAAAGAAGAAAAAAAAAAAAAAGCTATGGAAAGAAAAGAAACAGAGAAACCTGTGCTGTGAAACAAAAAGCTGAGATAATACACTGCGGCCAAAGAAAAAACAAAAACCAAAGCTCAAATCCGAATAAATTTAATTAAAAAAAATTATCGGAAGACCATCTTTGTTTGTTCGTTCTCTTCGCTTTTATTTTCTTTTCGTTTTCGTTATTCTTCTCATCTGATCTCTTTAGCTATGGATCCTTTCGATTTGTTTCTCAAAGGTATAATTTTCTTCTTAGATCTCTCGACTTTTCATTTTTCTTTCTTCCTTCTGTCTATTTTATATTTTTCCCTTTTTTTTGGATTTTTTGTTTTTGTTTTTTTTTGTGTTGGATTAGCTTGAGATCTTTGATACTTAGTGACTTGGATAATGCAAGATTATGGCTTTGATTTGTGCTGCCTTTTCTTTTGAATTATTTGTTTTGCTAGATGCCAAGAAAGCTTGATTTTGTTGAGTTTTTTGTTTTTATAATTAGGGTTTTTAATTAAATGAGTTTACTGTTTGATTTTACTTGAGGATTTTGTGCTTTCCTTTTCTCTTCAGGTTAAAGTCTCGTTGATAGGTGAATTTTAGGGTTTTGAACAGTATCTCGGCATAATTTTGGTCTATGAAAATCTCATTATTTAACTCATAATCTTGAATCAAGATTGTTTTAATGTTGTTTTTAAGAATGATTGGCTGTAGTTGCCATTCAGTTGTTAATTAAGCATAGTACTATCTTTGTTTCATTTTAAGCAATGATTTAGCATGCATAAAGAGTCAAATATGGTTTTTAACATTTCTATTATCTTAATTATTGCCATCTTCATGATTCGTCATCATTATTATTTCATGGAAATGATTATTGTGAAAGTTTCTATAAAGAGTGATGTTGGTTTTTTGGGTATTAATCTCATTCTAGATTTGCTTATTGAGTTATTTTCTGGTAAGGATTGGTTTTATGTATATGTGTTTTTATTCAATTTAAGATTCTTTTGCAAGTTTGACTTATTAATTATGTGACACAATGGATGGTTTTGCAGGTTTTGGTTAGAGTTTGTTGGAACTCAAGCGTGTATCCTCTGTATCAGTTTCCTTTATATATGTTGAATCTATTTTTTTCATTTAAGTAAAGAATGAGCCTATCCAAGAAAGGAACCCAAATTAGTGACACAAAACTAAGTTCCCCTAGCAAGGTAACAACTTTGAATCCTAATGCTGCAGAGTTCGTTCCCTTTTCTATTAGGTCATCATATTCATCAGGAAGCACTAGTGCAGCTGATGCAACAGCAAGGTTTGCTACTTCTGGGACCATAGGAAAAGCAGTGCTTGATCGGTCGGAGTCTTCTGTTTCAAATAATTCTGATGAAGAGGCTCATCAGTTCTGGCGTCACCAGCTCCCTGATGACATTACTCCAGACTTTAAGGTTATTAATGAGGATGATTCTCAAGGAATTGGGTCTGACAGCCTCTCTTTAGCAGGTTTGTCCTTGCTTGAGAGTAGCGAAGCTTCAAGGTTATCTGCTTCTGCTGGTGTTGGATATGTATTCGGTGATCAGCATGAACTACTGCATGATTATGGTAATGGTAATAGCTTTGCTGAAAAATTGAGATATCCTGCTTCATCCTATGGAGAGGATCCTACTTCAGCTAGTTTATTGCACTTGCCAGCCAAACCTCGGGACAAGCAACTTGTTAACAGTGGCCAACTACTTGGCAACGGGAGGGAGGGACAACCATATAATGGAAATTCTAGACATGGATTCAGCAATGATATTTTGGGAGAGCACACAATTGTGGATGATACTGAAATGAATCCTCTGGATTTTTTGGCTTCTCAATTCCCTGGATTTGCTGCCGAAAGCCTTGCTGAAGTTTATTTTGCCAATGGTTATGATTTAAATTTGACTATAGAGATGCTCACACAGCTTGAGGTGAGTGGCGCTTCACTGTTTTAGTTGGTCAATTTTTAAGTGCTTGCATTTGTCCTTTGTTTGAAGATGTAGTGATGCAGCAGTTATTTACATCTTTAAGTTTTATATTTTTTATTTTATGACTATCAATTGCTATAAAGTTGTAGAACTGCTAAAGGAATGGTTCCTTGATTTTTATACTGCAATTGCTTATCATATTTCTTCTTATCTTGTGTTTCTGGGATGTTGGGAATCTGCTGTGGATTCCATGGATGATAATGGTTCGGATGTTAACTGTAGTTTGACAGGGAAAAGCAGGCTTCTCATAAAGTTTTGAGGTGACTCAATTCAACCATAGTCTTGTTTGTGGCCTCTAGTTCATAATATCCTGTGGCCTGCTACAGGGGTAGTTTTTCTTTATGGGATTTTCTTCTCCTTTCTTTTTCTTTTTGAAGTTAAATCTTGTTAGGTATTTGTTATGTGCTTTTGGGCTCACAGTTTACCAGCATCCTCATAAAGTTTTCAGAGTTTTTGTTGCCTTTTTTAACCATTTTAATTGTCATAAATCTTTTGGCGTTCCATGGGCCATTTTATTTCTTATTGCAGCTTCAAGTTGATGGTGGTTTCAACCAGAACCTGAATTCAAAGGCCTTGTCAGCTCCCAATCTGAGTACGTTAGACTTTCCTACACTTACTGTTTCAGATGGTCAGAATGGTTCCTCAGAATACGCAGCAGATGATCTTCAACATGGGTCCAATCCTTATCGATCTTCTGACAAGGACAATATTCTTATGTTCAAATCCAGTTCTTCCCTTCCATCTAGAGGTGCCATAGATTTTGCATCAGCTGTCAGGAAAATGGCATCTCAAGATTCTGGAATATGGAAGTATGATAGAAATGGTTCTGCTGATTCAACTGTTGGGTCAAGTAGAAGTTCTCATGGGCTAGCTAATACCTACAGTGCTGCACCTGGAAGAGGGGTTTATGCTAATAGGTTGCAGACTCGTGGTTCAGCTCGTTCAGCTCCTGTTTGGCTTGAGACTGGAGATGCAGTGGGTAATATTCTGCACTTAATAAAGTTCTTGCATTTATATTGCTTTTACTAGGACCGATTTATGCCTTTGTGCATATCTGTTTGCTTTAACATTATTGAGCTGGCAGCAAATTTGTACTCTGAACTACGGGAAGAAGCTCGAGACCATGCACGTTTACGTAATGCCTATTTTGAACAGGTATCTCCTTGCATATTTGTTGCATATATTTAAACTGATATATTTATAGGTTTGACGTTTTTGTTAGCAAGCAGTGAAATAAGTTGTTTAACCAGGTTTCAGCCCCATTGCTCAACCACCTTTTTTTCCTTTTATTTTTCATTTGTTTGTGCCCCCTTCTGCCATCCTGGAGATCAATTCCCTTTTTTAGCCCTTTCTTGTATAACAGTTCAAATTTTTCTTCTGCTCCTACCGCAACCTTTTTCTGTAACTTTACAGTTGTCCACTAGCTGACCCCAAAGTTATTTGATATAAGACTTAGTTTGTTGTTGTTATCACAATTGTCCACTAAGTTATATCAGGCAGCAATCAGCTTAGCTAGATATGAAATCAAATAGGAAAAATTAATGGAATATGAACTCCAGTACTAGTCCCCCCATTCTCTCTTGAGGTAAGCTTCATTGTTTTTCATGTTGACTAATGCATCTATTGGACTTTGTCTAGTTGGGAAGTAAATAAGTCTAGTGACATTTTGTAATGTACATAGGAATAAAGTATCATTCACAACTATCGGTTTAATATCCTGTATGAGTATGTGCTTGACGAATAGCTCAAAGTTGATGCAATTATACGAGTACAGAGTGCATCATTTATTAGACTTGCAGAAGGCAAATTTCTAAAGTATGACTGCTGTGCCTAATCTTGCATGTGAAGTCTGCTCTATTATTCAACGTTGACATCTCTTTCTCTCCCCCACTGAACTTAGTCCGCCCAACTTATCTATATTGTTAAGTGATAGTCTTATTATCTATTTAAAATAGGCACACCAAGCATTTGTCATTGGCAACAAGGCTCTAGCAAAGGAACTTAGTGTGAAAGGACAACTGTACAATATGCATATGAAGGCAGCTCATGGAAGAGCTCAAGAGTCTATATATCGCCAGAGGTTTGTCATTTCTTTCTTGTTGCACTTGGTACCTTGACAGGGTGGTTAACAGGCTTCAAGCCATTCTTCTATTGCTATTATTATTATTATTATTGCTGCTTTTAACATATTTTGATCAATGGGTTGGGAAGATATTTTCAGGCGGAGAATAAAAAACATTGGTTGCTGACATCTGTCAGGGGTAGTATTCATCCCTGCTGCTTTAATTATTAACTGGTTCCTATCCCTCACTTCCACCCACCCTTTCTCCTTTCTCTATCCATTCATCTGTTCATCTTTCATACTCACAGCTCTGATGAACTAATATACCTGAGTTTGTTAGTTCTGAATCCTGGGAATTGTTTGTTCTTATTCCAGTAATCTAAATTCTTGTTTTATTATTTTGGCAGGCTTAATCCTAGTTTGTTCTGTTTGACTGTTTATGAACTTTAATAATATAGGAACCCAGTTCCTCCAGAGAATGTCAGAGGGCAGGAGCGGATGATAGACCTGCATGGATTGCATATTAGTGAAGCCATTCATATACTGAAGCATGAACTATCAGTGCTGAGGAGCACAGCAAGGGCAGCAGATCAGCGTCTGCAGGTATACATATGTGTTGGAACTGGCCACCATACTAGGGGTTCTCGTACTCCAGCAAGACTTCCAGTTGCTGTACAGCGCTATCTTCTTGAAGAGGAGTGCCTTGACTATACAGAACCACAGCCAGGGCTACTTCGAGTTGTGATATATTGAAGCCATGGACTAGACAGCGTTGAGGTATAGGAGTTTTTGACAAAACAGAAAAACTCTCCAAAGTCATAGTCACCATAGTCATTCTTGTATCTAATACATGGGAGGAAATGGAAGAGAAATTAGTTTTTAAGTCTGAAAAAAAAAAAGAAAAAAAATGGAAAAAAGGGGTTCAAAAAAGCTACGGGAAAGGGAAAAAAAGAAAGAAGCAGAAGTGTATCATTAATGTTTAGCCAGATGACAGCAACAATTGCATTTTGGTAGCATCAGAGGGGGGGGGGGGTGAAGCTGACCCCAGCCAGCAACTTCTTTTCTTCGTTTTGTTAATTGTGTATTTTAATTTTTACTTTGTTAAATTCCTTTTTTTGGGGGGGTTAAGTCTCAGATGTAACTGATAGAATTGAATTACATGATAGTACGATTCATGAAGAATTAACTCTCGTGCCAAAATTTGCGTAGTGCTGTTAGAAGTCAAAACAGGACTATTGCAGGATTCGTGCTGAAACTGTTGATGTTTCTACTCTATGCCTTTCTGGTCTGAGATCTCAATAGTCGAGGGAATCGGTTGACGTCTAGATAACGGTCCCTTAGGCCTTATGGAGTGGTTGCGTGCAAGACTAGTTGCAAGACTAGTTGTCATAGGAAAAGCACTCGTTTTACCATCTGGATTCATTAAACCAATGACGCTTTGAATAGGGAAATCCAAGTTAATGGAATGGAAGAATACGAAAAGCACTTCTTGCCAAATGTAAAATAACAATCCCACACGATGGGATAACAAGGATATGTATCCCATCTTTCTCTGTCATTTAGCACTGAATTAGGCCAACCGTTAGATAGACTTATATTTTCGGTTTGACTGTCTTTGACCGTTGAAAGCCTAAAAAGGGTAGTACTTGCTTCTACGATTGATGGACAGCGAGCAGTTTCTTCTTTCCCCTTTGGGTCCCAGCTAAGAAACTGGAGACATTACGTGTCCAAAAAATATTGGGCCCTCTTGGCACTCTCCCTTATCTCGCATGAACGAAACAGCCCTTGTCCGAATCCTATGATAGTTGGATGGTGTTCAGGCTTACCAAAGAAAAAAAAAAAGAAGAAACAAACAAGTTACTAGAAATAACTAAAACAGTAAAATTTATGGAATCAAGGTCCTTGCAATGATCCTATTTTCTCACCGAACTACTCTTCCTTTGGGGCTTCGCGGACTTCGATTCTAGTCAATCCCATTCAATAAAATTTTGATCTCTTTTTCTCTTCTTATCTCATTAGTCTACATGCATTCATTCTCCAAAAGAGGAGCAGGGTAACCTTCTGAAAAGAAGCTTCAGTGATATAAACTCAGCTGCAATTTTGATTTCACCGCACTTTTCAGTCAAAGTACTTCTAGTTAAATTTAAATATTAATTTTAATCAGATTAAATTAATATAAAATTTTTATTAATTTTTTTCAATTGTAATTACAATAAATTTTATTTTATTTTTAATCTTACTGTATTCAATTTTATTGTTCATCCAAATCCAAATAGAATCTCAGACTCATTTGATATGATGGTTTTAGACAACATTGATCTTACTATGGAGGACTCTTTTTCATCTTTAAATCCTAAGGACTTAAACCCTAGAGGGTTTGCCCTTTTCTTTCTCTTTTTCTTTTTTTGAGTGTGTTTTCGCTTTCATTCATTAGTATGATTTTTTTTTTAAATAACAAAACATGTGGGGTTTTTTTTTTTGGGGGGGTGTTTTAGGTATCAATTGCAGGTGTATGAAGTTGCAAAGAGAAGAAACATAATAGCAGTGTTGGATACAGGTGGAGGGAAGACGATGATAGCTGTAATGCTCATCAGAGATTTTGGTCAAGCAATCAAGTCCACTGACATTATAAAGTCGATTATTTTCTTGGCCTCCGCTGTTCATCTAGTTAATCAGGTATGCTTTTTAGTCCTGGAAAGATTAAAATTTCTTCTGGTAATGTGAAATTTTGGACATTGAAATTGTTTTTTTTTTTTGTGTGTGTGTGTTTGCAGCAATTTGAATATATAAAAACTCATGCAAATTAAATTTGGAAGTTGAACAGTATTATGGAGCTAAGGGGCTTAATGAATGAAACTCAGATTGTTGGGAGAAAGAAATAATGGAGCATGATGTAAGTTTGTTTTTTACCTACCTCGAAGAGGGCTATTTTTTATGCTAATTGACTTAACCCCATATGCTAGGTTGCCTTAAAATTCGATTTGGTTCTAGCATTCTTACTTTGAGAATCCTGTGTCTTAATTGTTCATACTAATTTTTTTATGCACTTCTATTAGCGGTTGCCATTTTGTGTTTGCTAATCTTGTATAATAGATGAGTGTCACTGTGCTACCGGCAACCATCCATATGCAAAAATAATGGTCAGTAATCCAAATCATCTTTTTGCAAGAACATAATGACTACTTAGGCCTAGTTTAGCATTACTGTTGCGATTGAGAAAAGCTTGATTTGGAAAAAATGCTTTAAGCAATGTTAAACACACTATAATCTGTGTTAAAAGCATTTTTTGATTGCGGTTGGGACTCTGCAGCACTCATTATGCTTTATGAGCTTCAACAGCAGGGAAAGCTCTTCAATCATCGTTGGGGAATCCTAACAAGTCCACCAGCTTTCTAATTCAATATAGAAATAATGGTGTAGCCTTCTCATTCATATTTCTTTACAGTGCATATGAAAGAAGGTGATCTGCAGTGACCCCACATCTCAATTATTAACCTTGACCATTGGTGTAAACTGCAAGCAGACTTTCACTTATCAACTGCATTGTATATGGTCCTTTTACTTTTAGTGATTAAGTCTAGCAATAAGAAATGCTTACATATATTTAATCATTCTGTAATTATCGGTTTGTCAATTTTGGTACAATTGTAGGTTCCCCAAGGGAAGGGCTTTTACCAGGGCAATTTCCCGTCTCTATTTGGTTAAATTTACATTACAATCGAGACACTGTCACACCCTGATTCATTCAACATATGAAAATATAAGCTTTGACAAACAAAATTTGATGAATTCACCCTTCATTACACGCGACATGCCAAAAATGTTGTATATTAAAGGCCAAAATACGATGTATGTGTAACTATTCTTTTCATTGTTCTTGAAATGTTGATGCTGCGACGTAAGTTTCAATACCATCTTCTACTGGTATCATAGGGAGGCATCCATCCAGTGCAGAGACATTTTTAGGCTCTAATCAAGAGCTCATATACGTTGCTGTTATTATCCCCGCTAACACGCTTCAATGTTTCAAAGCTTTTACGACTTCCCAAGAAATCAATTCGTTTGAAAATCACATGTCCACATTCTACCGTCTCTTTGCTAGAGTACGCTGCTCGAAGCCGGTCAGCATGCCTTGAGTCAGTGTGAATAGCAGCCTCTATTTCATCAGCTGACATGTTTTCCTAAGAAAAAGCAGCAACAAAAGCAAAAAAATTTCGGGTAATGATTGATTGCCTCCATGACAAATGAAATATTTGAACATGTTGCATTAATATCCTAATAACCTGATTTAAAATTATAGCTGCATTTATAACCCAATTTGCACAAAAATATGGGGATGAAAAACTTATCCATGTCATACCTGATAAAAGGCATAGATATAATCCAAAACCTGCAGACGTTTAAAGCCATTATCACTGAAATATGTCCGTGAAGAAGGTCCCATCTCAGAAAATCGATCCACTGGGAATAGTATGGTAAGAAAGTGGTTTTTGAATATCAACTCATTTTTCTCACTGCGAACAACTTATAGAAAACAGATGGAGTGAGACAATGCTAATTAAACTAAAACATGAAAAGGAACAGAAATAATGGGACAAATCTCTGTGAAACGATCAATCACCTTTCTGTAAGTGACCGGGTTAAGTTAGTAAATGAGGCCCCAGAATCCTTGCCATCACCATTAGCATCAAAGAATACAGATTGATGCTCGCTAACATCTTCGCCACTAAAAGAGTCTGTGAAAATAGAAGCAGTTGAAGTTGGCTCAGATATTGTCCAGCAAACTGAATCCAGAAGACTTCTTGGGCTTATTGGACGGATTGGGGTTTGACAAGTCTGAAAGAAAACAGATGTTGAAGGACATGCAATAATTCACAATAATACATTAAAATCATTCCAGTAAAGTAGTCTGTAAAGATATGCTTACCTAAATACCTGTATTCCATAAAGAAAGCATAAGCACACACACAGATGGAAAGCATAAGCATTCCATAAAGTGCTTGTGTTTGCACACACACAGATGATATGGTAGTGATTAGCAGCATTTTTGCAATTTGCATCACATGCATGCCATAGGATAAGGGCCCTCCATAGATTACATGCTATAATATGAAATATAGGTCCATAGATTACACACTATAATTTGAAATATAGGAACCTCAATCATACTTAGTTTCGAGCAAGCCCATCAGTACCTTTTAGTTTGCCTCCAAGTACTTAGAAGTCAATCAATCTGATAGCTAATATCATTTTGGAAGCCTGCTTTCTAATATGCATTTTTGATGAGCAAGAAACTATGGCGTAGTTAACGCTCCAACCATTCAATGTCACCCACTCAAATGCCCAAGGTTCATCCAGTTAAAGTTTCTTCCATGCGATACAATTTATAGTTAAGATGACTTACTGTAGCCTCACAGCTTTATATATAGTATAGTTCAAACTGTAACCAAGAAAATCAATGATGCCTAACTGCCCAAATCATGAATAAGGTATTGCTTAAAATGTCCAAGGCTCTTTTGTGTGATAATAACAAGCATAATAGGATCAGCCCACATTAGTGTGAAGCCCTAGAATATACCAAACATGATTAACCACTTGCCTGCATACGACGACTGCGACGATTTCTAACCCCAGTTTTAGCTAAATGTACAATCTGTTGCCTCTCTTCATGACTTGCATTCCTTCTAAAGCTCTGAGCGTATTGAGTTGAATTAGCCACATTATTTTCCTATTAAAACAAAGGTGAAAACTTAACATCAGCATAATACTCAGAGAAACAAAGAAAACAAAAAAAATTCAACAGAGACACATAACATGAACGTCGATTTAATGAATTAAATGGAATCAAAACTGACGAATATAGACGGTTGAAACATAAGCTGAAACTAATTAGCAGAAATTGATGACTTGACCCCAAAATGGAGACCTTAAAAGGTCAATACTCAACAGCTTAACAAAATTTTTCTGTTTCTGAATCAGTGCAAGCATGAGCTTATCTATCGGAGAGTTCATCTATAAATCATCCATCATTGCTCAATTACAGTCCTTTTTTCATCCACACACCTTCAAAATTGTTTCTAATGTTTAGATCTATTCCCTTCTTTCATATACAATTATTCATTCTTGGTCCTATTCCCCTCACCCTGACAACTAATATGTCCAGCATTACAGGAAGGGAATAACATGACTTGTGCTACCATAGAAGGAAAAGATGTGAAATCTATTTATCAAATGAGTTCAACTGCCATTATCATAAGAATAAAATAGCAATATCCATAATTCTGACAGCAGTATATTCAACAGTACCTCTCCTACAATGCCATTTTGAGAATTTTCAAGCACTGTCCCAATCTGCCTGGCCAAATCAGCAGACATGTGAACAAGCCTCTGCAAATTCCTATCCTTAGCTGTTTTCAGGACCCATGATGGCTGAGACATATTAAATATCAAATCAATTCCAGCATAACAAACATTGATTATTCTTATAAGTGCTATGCATATTGCCCGTGATGACATCACGTACTGGGAGAAACAAAAACAATGTCAGAATCAAAAACAGTATGATGACGATGCACAAAAGACTCTATTTCCATGATACATGCAGAGGCACTCACTGTAACAATGCTGTTTGAGTGGCCAATATATCGATGAATAGAATTCCCTTCACATACTACATGACTTGCACTGCAACCAACAAACCATCGATCTACCACTGCAGCCCCTTCTTTAGATGCTGCTTCAAGAACCTATCAACATACTAAACGTCTCAAAGAATTGCTAAAAGCAACATACAAGTCAGACAAAACTAAAATAGTGAGTTATTGACTAGCCTTGCAGTGATACATAGACTGTGATCTGCGACACCGACACACCTAATCTACGAACTCAGCAGATCATGCAACATATTCTAAACTAGCATTTCAAAAAGGAAACATTAATTTTAGGCAGCATATCAAATATTACCTTATTCCGTAGTTCATCTGAAATACCAGAATCGATGTACATGGTATGACCAGATAAAGTTGAGTCCATACTTTTTTTAGGGACTCTTCCAGAAAATAGTACATGTTGCTTTTCTATCATGTCTATTTTCTTGGCTTCGTGAAAACCAGCAGGAAGACACGAACTGTCAGAAGCAGTAGACCCAGCAAGCCGATTTAATTCATCTACACGTGTGCCATGTTCTTCAACACACTTTACAGTGTAGAGTGATTCACTTAACCTCACTGCAGTAAATGGAGAAAAAAAAGATATTTTTATAAACTAACACAAATCAAATTAGCCCTCAAATTTCCTTTACTTTAAAAAATACTCAAGTTCTGCTTTCTCTAACATGGCAGGGTTTCCATTTCTTAAATTACCAATTAAGATGAACACTCCTAAAAGCATGTAAAGGAATCCCACATAGAAGTCATTTTATCCACAAATGCACATAAGCAAGATGACAGATCTGCACCTTAGAAGGTTATTTTGATGATACCTAGACAATTGGAGAGACTATAAGTTGATTATTTCTGAATTATACAACTCTATGGTAGAATTTGAAATAAATAAGGTGCTTGGAGATTCCAATTAAGTGCTAAAAAAAAAATCCACATAACAATAGCACATCTTTCGTCGAGACACAGACCATTTGAGTAAAACATATAAACTGCAAGTAGCATCGTGATTCATTAGCTAGTAACATAAGGTATTTTTATTTCTGACTCTTATACAAATTCTGGAACCTGTTTCTTAAATAGAATATTAGGAGGGAACAACATCAGCTGTGAGATAATGAAGTTAGAATTTTCATATTAAACAAACTAGTAAGTTATAACAGTTTGAAAGAGCATATCCTTCATACAGCAATAAAACTTATTACAACAGGGAAGTATGAAATGAGAAGCAGCCTAATCTTACCATTCCTCTTGACACTATCCACAAACCATCCAAGTGTAACCACAAATAGACCATTTCTTGATCCATGTTTTAGAGCATGCTCAAACTTACGTCCGCTAACACTGTAACTATTTTTAAGGTTGACAGAACAACTGCCCCAGTAAAGACAATACAAAGACAGACAATAGGAAACCTTATTATCATCATCATACACACAATATCCATCTGCCAATTACAATATTGTCAGAAAATTACAATCATATTGGTCATCTCTTTTCTCTTAATTCCAAAATCAGCCAAGTTTCAAATTATGCCAAAATCTAAGTAATTTAAAAAAAAATGATAATAAGAAAGGATATCTGGACCACCAAATGGGTACATTGAGGATGTAAACTAGGACTATATTGACCACCTAATCTCTCCGTTGCTTCCATAACTTGTTTCCTTGCTTCTGCACACAAACAGTAACAAACATGAATTTCATGATGAAAAAATCAAAGTTTTAACATATATAATAGCAAAACAGGATGAGTTCAATCAAAATTCAAGTGCCCAGAATCAAAATCATACAAGTTTAATTAAACTGTAAAAGGAAAAAAGATCAAACAAAAAAAGAACCAAAAAGGTGTAAGAAAAGAAACAAAAACGGATTTCATTTGGATACAAATTTACCAACCTTTAGACAACCCAGTAACGCAAATAACCAGACCAGAGAATGGACCGGTGGATCGAACCGTTAACGGTTCAGAACCAAGAGAGGTAGAAGCAGGGGACATTTGGTCAAACGATTGGAAGCTTCTAAATGATGGCACTGAAGATGAGAACCCAACAAACAACCTTGAACAACCTTTGCTGTTTATCACTTCCACCCTGTTAAGACCACCCATGTTTTTCTTTCATTCACTTCAAAGTTTTAGATAAAGATTCAAACATCATTAAAAAAAAAAAAAATGAGCAAACGAATTTAAATGAACCCAAAGAAAGAAAACTTGAAATAAGTGGGTCAAAAGAATATAGAGAGAGAAAGAAGGAATCTTGAATGAGAAAAAAGAGGAATCAAATAACGAAAGGAAAAAAAAAAAACTAAGAGAGTGGAGGTAAATGGGAATCAGAGATTGGAGACAAAACAAGGATTTTTATTTTAAAGTTAACTTATCTGTAAAAGGCTATAGAAAAAGAAAAGGTGAAATTTTTATGAAGGAAGTGCTTTGTTTTTGGGGTCTGCCATAGTCATAGAGAACAGATACAGAGAGAAACTTTGGGTTTTTCTTTTTTTTGCTTTATTGAGTTTTGTTTTGAATACGAACCATTTCAAAGTTTGCAGAGCAAAAAAAGCCAGCCAAGCCAACTATCCCACAGCACGAGATGGTTTTTTTTTTTTTTTTGCCAACTTTTTTCTCTTTTTACTGTAAATTTCTCGTGCTTTCAAACGTCTGATCCTTTTCATTTTATACAAAATGGGCTTGTGATTTCATTGAATTTACTACCAGCTTCCGGCCAAGGCTTCAGGGCTCCACCAGGATTGAGGCCCCCCCTTCCTTACCTTAAGTACAAATGGCGGCAATGATTTGAGTTTTTAACTAGTTTTGATTTGGAAAATAAGATAAAAAAAAAAACATAGAATAATCATTGATTCAAATGTTTCAATACGGTTTGACATTTTTATTGTGAACTGTGACTGTGATTACCGGTGACTTCGATGAGTTTGTGAATGTTATCAATTTGAGCAGACCTGTTTTTTTCACAGGGATTTTGCCTGCTTTTCCCTTATTTACTAGTCTTTTTTTCTCACAACTTGACATCCAAAAGATACCCCTTGTTGCCTTACTAGTTTTGTTTTTAATATACCATTTCCCTTTTTTTTTTTCACCCTCACTGCCATTCTTCACGTGATATTTGAAGGATTTTGATATGACACCTTTTTACCCTGGACAAAATTTCATACATAATAATGGTATGCCTTACTCTAATTTGTGATATGATTGAAACACATTAAATGCAGAAAGTAACTGCATTTTTCTTGCAATTTTTGAATTGAAAACAGGGTCACAGGGCAATTTGGTGTGCTATGCCAATTTGTATAATTGTTTCTTTTCATCTTTTCAATAGTCCCAATTGCATAATTGTTAGCAAGAAAAAAACTATAACATTTGTGGATGAGAAAGTGGATCGGATACATTTCCCATCACTATGCAAAATTTTGTTGAAATATTGAAAGTGACCACAGTTCGGATGAATACGACCCAGATTAAAGCCACATCCAATAGTTTTAGAAGCCCATTTGAAATGGTTTTCCCTGCATTTATGAAGCCAATTATGAATGGAAAATTATTAATAACCTCTCAAATCTAGGACACCGACCCGTATAGCATAATATCAAGCGTGTTTGTTACGTCTAGCGCTATTGAGAGACAGACAAATAAATTAATTCTCACGTCGAATAAGAAACAAAAACCGTTAAAAAGAAAGCATTGATGTTGAAAAAAATAAAAATTATCTATAAGTCAAGAGTTTAACAAAGTAATATGTACAGTCGTAGCTGTGACGATAACAACACTATATTGATTGGTTGAAAGTATCAGGCTTAAAAATTTTATTGTAATAAATATTTTATAATAAAAAAATAGTGATTTTTTTCTCTTTGAAAAGTTTTTAATTGATAATTAAAAATATTTTTATTATTTATGTTGATTTAACATGTCAAATCGATTTAATATGTTCAATATCAAATTAGTAGAATTATCCTTATTATCTCTTGATAATCTCTTACAGTTTACTTATAAATATGAATGTATAAGTATCATTGAGAAATGTTCATTCTACTTTTTTTTTCTCTTTCTGTAACGTCGCAATCCCATATTATAATAATATGAAGTTTTGCTATGATATATATATAGAGACTTCAACTAAAATTTATGATATATCTTTTATGTGATAAAATTACGAGATATTTAGATCAAAGTAGATAATATCTCATAAGTTAGATACGAGTCTTTACAAATAGTATCAAAGCAATCACCAATTGGAGATTAAACAATAACTAAGTCTTACATTGTAAGAGCCACCTTTAAAATCTTGTCGGACGAGAATTAAAGGTTATATTGTATGAGTCACGTCTAGAATCTCGAGGGAAACTAAACCACATTTAGAATCTTGTCAAACAAAAATTAAGGGCTATATTATGGGAGTCACTTTTAGAATTTTGCAGGAGCTAAATTAGCTCACAAGTCAGACGATAACTAAGTGCTATATTATATGAATCATCTCTAAAATTTTATCGGGCGAAAACTAAGTTCTACATGGCTTTAACAAGGGATTTTGTAACACCCAAACTTATGAGGCACTATAAACGGATAATATTTCACAATAGATATCCACACTTCTTACTTACTTTTTGACCTTAATATTTTTAACTTGTGCCTTTACCTCTAACTGTCATTCTCTTCTATAGTTTCAATAAAGCATTGAAATCAAAATTTAAGTGTTAAAGTACAAACGAAGGGAACACACATTGCTTTTATCTCTAACTGTTTTTCTCTTCTATCTTTTCAAAAAAATCTCAAGATCAGAGCTCGACACCAACATTTAATATGTCATCAGATTGCATGATTCTTATATCAATCAAATAAGAAATAGGGTATATTAATTTTGCATAAATAAAAAATAAAAAATTATTAAATATATAAGCATTGACACCGTATACATGTAAAATAAGAAATGTAAAGTAGAAAATAAAAGTTTGTTGACATTGTATGTAGATAGAATAAGAAAAGAAAATTCGATGAGTGAATAAGTGTTAACGTTGCATGTTATATTAAACTAAAGAGCGCATTAATCTTATATATCACAATAAATCACAAAAAGCATTAATCTTACATTGAATCACAATAAATTGTACAATGCATTAATCTTATATTAATCTTACATTGAATAAAAAATCAAAGGTCATCACAATAAATTTCAGAATACATTAATTTTAAATTGGACAAGAGATGAAAGATTAATTTAGTAGTCTTCAAGCTTTTAATTTAGTAATTAAAGGGGTTTAAAGAGAAATCAATGACTTGATTTTAAACCAAACTTCCCCCTTTTCTTTTATTAATATTAGAGTTTTACTTTTTTTTTTATGTAAAAAGAAAAAAAAAAGAAAGATTGATTTAGCACGCCTCCGCCTTTGCTTTGGGCTTCAATTATTGCGTAATTTGAAAGAAACAAATTGGGGCAAAAGAGGGTGTCATTGGAGTGTCCTTTTGTTCACATATACAAGTCATTTTCCTTGGAGAAACTTTGGTGTTACATTTTAAAGTTGACCACTGTTATTAAATAGCCCTCCTATCATACTGCTATTATAAAAGGTGATGCGTAATCGTAGCAGCAACAAGCAACATCATTTAGCATATATTTTATAGCATTGTAGACGCTGTATTTTCTACTTTGTTCTATACACGCTTATAATTAGAACTTTTTGTAGTTTAGAAACTCTCGTATATGACAAGAAAAAAAAATTGAAAATCAAATTGTCAATGAGTTTTTGAATCATGTTCTTAGAATCATAAAATATCTTTCACCTTGTATTAAAAAAAAGGTTGGATCTGTCACCTTATTATTACAAGCATGTTCTGCATTACAGTGTAACAAAGACTTTGTAGTAAGACGACCCGAATAACTAGTCAAATAATTTGATGCTGTCTCAAAGGATCCAAGAAATCCTTTTTCTTTGGCAGAGTTAGGATGGTTTGGTTTGGTCATGGATATGGGTTTCAGGTTTAGGTGCAGAAGGCAATGATTATTGGTGAATCAGAGCTGGCTGGAGATGAATCACAGAGCTGCAGGCTGGCAGTACATTTGGAAAGAAAAGGGGAAAGAGAAGGAAATCATGAGCAACTTCAAAAAATTGACAATCTGATCAGCATGCCCGTCATGACGAAGCGAAAAAGGATATTAGCACACCCAAAAAATGATCACTCTGACCAAATCTTTGATTTTTTCCTCGTCAGAAGTGTCCAATTATCTAACTGCTTGTGAAGTGATGTGGGACTTGACTCATTTCCTGTATCATGAATAGTGAACCTCTGTTTTTGTTCAACCATCTAGTGCCTACAAGATCCTATATAGCAGGCCACTGTCTTTTGCAGTCATTGTGCTAGAATACCAGAACAACAGTAAAAATCAAATGGGAAACTTGTTAAAGAAGTTTTTCATATAAAATTCCAGCTTTCAAGTGTGGCCAATCCTATATATCATTCCTCAATTCAAAGGGTATGTCATTCCGATTATTTTGACCGTGCATGAAAACAACATCCAATATTGTTTATAGACATATATCTAAAGAAAATCCATGTTTCCACCACTTTGTGCTTTTCATTCTGTTAAAATACAGCCCATTTGCCGTAGACGTGAGACTTTGAATATTATTATTATTTTTCTCTCTAAGGTATTGTGCAGAATTACAGAAGCTATCCCAATAAGTGATCCAGCAAGCAGCCAACGGGTAGTAGTGTCTTTTTTTTTTTTTTTTTAATGTATTTAAGGGTATTATCTACGGTGGTATTTTTTAGGATTGGTAACAAATTGGATCTAGATAAATTTTTATTGATCTTGAATTAAATTTAATTTTTTATTCATCAAATTCGAATCAGATCTGATTCAAATTTTTTTTATATTGATTTCAATTCGATTTGATATTTTATATAAATCGTATTCGATTCGATCTGATTGAAAATTAATAAAATATTATTTTTAAATATAAAATATATAAATAATTAAATAAATAATTAAAAAATTAATTTTTATATAAATATTAAATCGAGTTAAATTGACCTAAAATTTAAATTTGATCCAAATTCTTTTTTTGCAATATTCGATTCAATCTGAAATTCAATTAAAAAAAATTAATCTTAAAATATTGAATCGAATCAAAACTCCGAAATGAATTGGGTTACCGACCGTAGTGATCGTCCTAAACTTAAGCAGTAAGCTAGCTTTGTAGTTTGAGATCAGTCAACGCCCCTAACAGATAAAACTTACTTTTAGACGTGTAATGAAAAGATCATCAGGTTACTAAAAGATAAAAAAAAAAAAACAAGATTGAGTCAATGAAGTTGTCGTTTTCATGAAACAAGAGAAACCCACCCCAGTTGGGGTTTGGTCTTTCTTTGCGTTTTTAGCCTTATATTGGCTCCATTTGGGTGCGGATTGGAATGTGCTAGTAGATTAGATCAATAGGATGAACTTGGGCTGGCTAGGCCTACGAGGTTCATAAAAGTGACCCCTGCCTGCAAATTCTTGATTCTGCAAAATATTCCTGAAACCAACATTTGAAAAGAGTACATTTTTTATATCTTTACATAGTATATATAAGAAAAAGATTTTGATGAAAGACAAATATAATCAGGTGTTAGTTTTATTCATTAAGCCAAATAGAGAGGTGCATTAACCCAAAAAGAAACTTCAGTATACAATCCAAAGAGGAAAAGTATCAACCGTTCTTGAGAGATATATACAAGTGAACCCAAATACTGGATGGAAACAAAAGAGAAACATATATCAAACAGCTTAAATATATGAAGGGTTCTGAAACGAATGGTGCAAAACTGAAATGGGCTGCAAGTAATAATGTTACAAACTTACGCTTACAATCCTTAAAACGAGCTCGAAATAATTGATAATACTCCCCTTTCATGCTAATGAAAATTTGGGTTCCAATGCTATCAGTCATTCTTCTTGGGGGCCACTAATTTCCTGGCAATATCTGATTTCAATTTGCACCCCATAGAGAAAGCGTCTAGAAACAAAGCATCGATTTCTTGCTCCTTTTTCTCGTACACATAGAAAGATATAAAGGCGAGTGGAAGTCCTGCAATAATACACCCCAAACATAAATACGCAAAACCTCATTTTGGTTGCAATAAGAAAATATAAAGAAAAAGCTTATCAAAAGAAGTAAGTTGATGAATAAGCTTTATCCAGAACGGCACATGGTGAAATATCTAGCATAATCATTAGCAGTTTCAGGTTATTTTATGTAGGACAGGCAACATTTGCTGTCTGGACTACTAAAGGTGTCTCCCATCTTTTGTTTGTGTGTGTGTGTGTGTGTGTGTGAGAGAGAGAGAGAGAGAGAGAGAGAGAGAACCTATGACAAACATAGTCTGAAGTGATATGGCTCCAAGGAAGCTAAGAAACAGTAGGGAGAAAACAACCTGTTTCATTGCCAGAGCAAAAGTAAGTTATGGCAAATGATTACAGCAACCATAATTTGTCACATTAGAGTATCCACAAAGAACAGCTTCTGTATATACATATAAATTAAGTCTAATAATAATAGAATCATAACAGGTCTATGGCACAGTGGTTGAGAAATGGAAGAGAAAAGAAAGGGTCGGGAGTTTAGGAATATGAACTCATGTTTAACAGATTGAACATATCATGAATCTAATTAGTGATCTCCAAGACAAAGAATTAAGGACCCAGTCTCAGTTCAATAATCAATCATTCACCATTTATCTAAAAGAATATGACTTTGCAACAAAAGTGATGACTCCAGAGGCTGCATTATCTTACACTGCTTTAAGGGGTGTAATCAATTTATAGTTTAAATTCAGAAAGAGGAGAGGTTTCTGGTACTAGACATCTAACATATTTGAAAGCACACAAATAAGAAGCAGACTAGGAGAGTGATAATACCTTGAGGAACAGTATCCAATCCTTCCCCTTGCAAAGAGATTTCAAAACATTAACAACACCGTTCCAGGATGAAGCCATCAACAAAACAATGTCCCTTGATTTCTCTTCTGATAAGTGGAAATTTGATGCAGGAATTTTCTCCACTGTATATCCGAATCTGCACCATCAGAAAATTACATTTATATCCAGTAGTTATTGTGCTCAGCATTACGAAATTTTGCTCATTTAGCCTTCCCATCAGTAAATAAGATCCAGAATACATAAAACCAACCAAGCAATGCAGATGACTAGGAAGCATCCACAGTTTTATAGCATCCAGACCAAGATAATCTTTCCTTTTTAAGATAATACCATTCAGATGCTTTTGCAAGAGAACCACATTACAAAATTTTGGCAATTCAAATAATTTAAATATATGATTTTTCTTTTTTGAGAATTTGTGACTATCAGAAAAGAATGGTTTGACATATTGACAGTGAAAAATGGGTAGGTATACATACATTCTATTTGGTAAACTGCCATGGATGAACAAGAAAATTAGTGACACCAAGAGCAGCTTCGAAACTGCAGTAATAAGGGTAGAACCTAAAGCAATGAAGTTGTAGTATATTGCACCCAATACCAACAGCACTATCAGTGTCTGCCTTTTATTCTTCCAAAGTAGTGTGTCAGCAACTGCAAAACCATGGGCAGTTAAGTGATGTACAAACAGGCACATGCACTGAATAAACATATCAATGCCATTATAAGTTTATAACATAGATTATCATCATTATTAATACAACAGTCTAACTACTATATCACTTGAATAACATATTTGAAGCTTGATTACAAGATTTGCACAGCATTCCTTTCTAAACTAGCTCTGGCTGCATTTTTAACCTTCAACTCACTAAACCTATCTATTTCATATCATAAATTCAACCGCCAGTCCAAGATTATGGGATAGGTTTCCTTTGTGTGGAACAAATTTTGCGTGAGAATACAAACACAAACCGCACAATTTGGTTGTAAAAGAAAGAGAATAAAAGAAGGAGCAATAAGCCAAAAGGCTTCTTCTTGGTTTCTAAGGCCAGGAAATAGAAAGAAAGTCCCTTTACTGAATGACATTCCAATAAACAGGAATCTCAATCTGATTATATCAACCAAACCACCTTACAGCAACAGAGCACAAAAATACTAGTAAGATTACATCCTAACTGCTAAATTCTAACCCTTAAACAAATTCAATCTTGATCCTCTAAAATACTAGAAAGTAAAGAACCGAAAAAGACATGGAGACTCGCAACAATACAATTGTCAGAAATGTGAACAGTGCTGCAGCTTGCAGAAAACAAGTATGCCATGACTTGTAATGTTCCTTTTCTCAACCCAAAAAGTAAATTTTGCTGCTGCATCACTGGCTAAAGCCTCTCTGATAAATTGTAATTGGAAAAATTAGGACAAGCCTAATCAAGTTGGATCTGTTGCATTGTAATCAGAAATATTAGGACAAGCCTAATCAAGTTGGATCTATTGTAACTTCCAAAATATATTTCAAGTTGTCTGAACTTTCGCTGGTGGCAATCAAACTTAAGACTTGTAACTTCCAAACTTATGACTAGTGAGGATGTGTTCTTAGTATATTACATATGCGCATTCAGACATCATAAAAGAAGGAAGAAATAAAATTACCCCTCCCCTGTCCGAGATAAACAGAAGCTTTGGATGGCCCTTCTCTCTTGGGTTGATTTTCAGCTCTCATGTGTGAGTAAGACTCAATTGTCTTCTGTATACCATCCTGCAACATTATTAAATCACATTGTCACAAATAAACCATCAATTTAATACCTTGGACTGTATTGGATATCGTCCACACCCCACACAAAGGATAGCCATTTAGATGGTTTCTATGTTCAGACAAGAAAAAGCACTCATAAGTCTATGCCATCCGATATTTTCAGTTTATAAGCACATTTCTAGCTGATATAAAATGATGGACATAGAGTAGAAGAATGAAACTGGTCAAATACATGGACCACTGCCATTATGATGCAACAACCAATCATTGGGAAAGCTACATAACTGAGAAGTTTAGAAGAAATGACAAACCTAGTTGGAGAAATTAAACATCGTTTCATTCTACTTTATCAGATGTAAACCGATCTACCAATTCCAAGTCTCCAAAAATAATTAAACCTTAGGGAAAAAATGCAGCAACAACGTAGAAAAGCAGTTGAAACATGATAGAACCTCAAGTGAGACAATTGGTGAATAGCCAAGCTGATCCTTTGCTTTTGAACAATCAAAAGATCTGCTGCAAGATAGAAGTCTAACTCTTGAAGGTGTCAATTGTGGAACCTTCATGCCATATGGGCCAAATAGCCGATATGTCAACTCCACCAAATGTGCAATTGGCATTATAACAGAGGCAGGAATCTTTATTTTTGGCCTGAAAAGTGCAGCAGTTCAGAAAGGAGGAAGACCTTAGGCATGGGCAGTTTTGTAACCATCTGTAGTTCCTAAATTTCCACCAAAGGGAAATGGAACTGGAAATGAATATAGAATACAGAAACAGATTAAGAATAAGCGTAATTTGCAAAAAGTTCATTCGTGCTCACCTCAAAAATAAAGTGAAACAGAATCAACAATTAGCATAGCAAAACAACAATATACATACTAATAAGCAGTCTTTTGTCTTATCTGAAGCTTTTAGGGATTTTAGGAGTAGGAGGAGAAAAATTGACACACTAAAGTTAACAACCTCAAGAACCATTGGTACCTTGATTTCACCAGAACATATAATATTAATGGGGGGATTAGAAAAATTACTAATCCTAAACAATCAACCTGGATGTTGAAGAAAAACACTTAAGACTTTCTTTACAGAGAGAATATGAACACGTTGTCACCAGGAACTTAAAAAAAATAACAATAAAAGTTGAAGATAATATATATAATCAAAATGGAAGAAAAAAGAACAGAAAGTACCTCTGATAGCCAAGACCCTCGAGTATTCGAGAAATAAACTCCCAAAACTTGATTGGCTCCATATTAGTTACAAAATATGCCTGCCAAATCACCATATAAATACTATCAAGCAAGGAATTGATTTTAGCAACAGAATATAAAAACCAATCTCCTGATCACTTAGCTTAGTCAACCAACATTGCAAGGTAGTAGGATAAAAAGCATCATCTTGAAGAATTACCACCCAAAAGAAATCTTCAGGAAAATTTTATCATCTAGTAAAGCATGTCTCTTTATTGAACAGCATATAAAATGATATTAAAGCTATAAGTAAACATCCTATATGATGCATGTAAATCATCAAAGGACATTTATCATTTTCCCTCACCTCCATTTGAGAGCACTTACAGATTGAAAAAAGTAGTAAGCAATTAAAAGAGCACCTGCCCTGCAGCTTTTTCGGCAACTTCTCCGCTAGATGCTAGAGCTCGTTCGGCACAAATATGAGCATGAGCCACATTTTCAACATAAGTGAAATCGTATACATTGTTGCCATCACCAATTATGAACTGATCAATTAAAATGTGAAGAAATAAGACGACAAATTATCAAACAGACATACACAGTAATGAAACAAATAATGAACATAAACCACCTTGGATTTCCCTGCCCTTGCTGCAGAAACCAAAGACGGAACCAACAGCCTATCGCCAGGGCCAAAAATACTGCTGGGACGTATGCAACAAGTTAGAAGCCCATTAACCCCATTTGCCTTGATGACCAATGCTTCTCCCTCAGCCTTTGTAGCTGAGTATGAATCAATATGCTGAAAGAAAAACTGAATCAATCCCATTCTGAGCAATAAAAGACATATACCAAATCCTACTTAAAAAAGACAAATAGATTGAAATTAGTACATTAGGTGGATAAGGCAACGATTCATTCCCATTAAAGATTCCATGAAACCCATCGAAAACGACACTTGGAGAGCTCGTATAAATCAGCCTTTTCACTTTAAGTTCAATGCAAGCCTCAATAACATTTTTAGTCCCTGCAAATTGCAGTTAAAGTATAAATAAATTATTAAAAAAAAAAAAACGCAGAAAACAAGTTCAAATAAATTCTGAAACTATATACTTTACCTTGAACATTAACGGAATGATGAAGCTGGAAGTTATTAATCGATGAATTAGGAGCCGCCATGTGGAAAACTACTTCGACTCCTTCCAAAGCTACAGCACAAATTTAAAAAAATTTAAAAAAATTAAAAAAATGAATATATATTACTAAAAAAATAGAGTGGAAATATATGCGATTTTTGAAATAATAGGAGACCTTTGAGTACTTGAGTTTTGTGGCGAAGATCAGTGGAAATGTAGTAAGCACGACCTGACCGTAAAGCTTCTCCGAGGGTTCCGTTTTCCTCGTACGATTCGAGATCAATGCTGGAAGGCAAGTCGGCAATTCGAACAGCAAATATTTCGTATTTGATTAGCGTTTCGACCAAATGACGGGCGGCGAAGCCTCTGCCGCCAGTTACCACGCACCATCTCTCCTCGCCTGACATTCTCCCCCAAGCGCCGCCAACGACAGGAAAGCAATGGGACAAGCTAAGGAAAAGGGAAAGTGAGAGTCAAAAATCAGAGAGATCGCGATCTGGAATTGAGAAGAGTGTGAGAGTGAACGAATCTTTTACTGCTAGTGGCTTTTTTTATGAGATTTTTTCAATTTTGTTGAATCTTGACAGGAGATAGTCGCTTTTTTTTTTTTTATTGTATCGACGACGGTGCCATGTTAGGCAGGTTAAATTAAGTTAATTAACAGAAAAGTTAATAAGTTCGTTAGAAAAAGTATAGACGGATTTTTTTTCTTTTGTCAGTTCTGGTTTTCCAAATAAAATAAAAAATAGTACTTTTCTATTTTAATTTTTATGAAACATTTTCCATCAAACTCACTGTAATTTGTAACACCGATTGAAATATGTGTGTATTTTTTTTTTTTAATTTTCAATTCATTTTTTCCAAGGCTTATCATCGTATTAATACTTAATAGTAATTGCTTCGTTTTATTCTAATTTTAATTTCCTTTTGGATATATTTTTTAAAATAAAAATATCAAGTTCAATTTTGGATAAAAATAAAATAATATTATTTAAAATTATAATAATCGTAATAAAAATAGTTTTTCAAAATTATAATTTAAAAATAAAAATTTTAAAATAAAAATTTATTATATGAATTAATGGAATTAATTTATAAATTATAATAATTATTTTTTATGCTATAAAAATAATACATTATTGATCAAGCTCCCTCTTGATTTGGCTTTTAATAAATCTAGCCTAATGTATTCCTTACATTAAAATCTAATCATAGGGAAATTTCAATTATACTTTTCTTGCTTGCACTCCTATTCTATTTTTAGGTATGCCGACTGCTAATCTACTATTAGTGTTAGTTAAATTTACCAATAATTTGGTGATCATTAAAGTTGGTAGGCTGATTTTAATCTTCTAAAGTGGAAATGTGGTTATAAATCATTGGTTACTAACTTAAGACAATAACGAGGAAGCAATTGTTAGGTATGAAAATTACTTATATGGATTAATATCAATGTCATAGGTAAAATAATTAGATCGATTTTATTAAAATTGAAAATAATAATAAAAGTAAAAATGATTATTGCAATAGTCAAATTAAAATGATTGATGAATTTTGCATTTTAATACAAAAATAATAATAATTGTGATAAGATAAATTATAATATAAAAAAATAACCATAAAAAATATTAAATTAAAAATTATATATTTGAATTTAACTAGAAGAATTCATAGATTACTATTGAGATTTGTAACTAAAGTGTGACAAATTAATTAATCTAATGAAAAATTCTAAACATATAATTAAAAAATCTTATTTATTAGTATTTTCCACGCATTTAATTACGGTGACAATGTATGCCCATGGGATATTAGCACTTATGTGACGAAATTGGAAACTTTATTCTAAGACCAACGTGAGATTCAGCGACGGACCACTTGGAAATCACTTTCAACATCGTTGACAAAAATATTCTTACCATAAACAAGTATTTTAAAGTCGATTGATAACAGTTCTTTATTTGCCAAATGAAAATGACTTGACAAGAGCATTACAGTTGGGTAATTCCTCCACCAGAAACGGAGTGTCTCTTGTCAAGTATCGACAATATTCCAACGATCTCCAATATTTTTCTTGGTCCAGTTATATTGTGGAACCCAGCAAATGAGAGACGTTAACCAATCCTCTGCTAGCGAAAACCATCAACGATTAAAGTCCATATCACCCATTCCAAAATCCTCCCCAATATAATATTTATTTTTTTGGCGTCCTTTATATATATTTTTTAATTTAATAATTTATGTTATTATATTTTATAAAATATTATATTTATATAATATTTTATATAAAAAGTATGTATTATAATCTATATTAATATGAAAATATAAAATATAAAATATATATTTTAAAATTTATTAAATTTATTTTTAATTTTTATTGAAAGTTTTAATCATATTATTTTCATATTTTTTATTCAAATAATTTTTTTTAATGATAAGTTATATTTTATTTATCCAAAAGAAGTAATAAAATTACTATAATACTTTCACTTCATATATATAATCAAATCATATTATAACTATTATGTAATATAGCTTTTATTTATATTTCATGCATCACACAAAATTTTATTAATTAGATCAACAGAAATCAATTGCAATCCATATAATCGAATCCTAACAATTTTTTTAATCAATTTATACACTTGTTTTTTTGTTTATTCTTTATTCTTGAATAATTTGTAGTTCATCTCTTTCCATATATATAATATATATGAACATTCTAAATAATACGCAATACTATTAATATCAATGTCTTGTATTTTATTATTGTTACTGTCCATTTCAATTCTTCAATCCAAATTGAATTATTTTTATTTTGTGTTATTATATTATATTTTAAATTAATAAGTATATCGTTTTCCAACATTAAACTTTTTTATTATTAGTTTAGGAAGCTGACAAGCCAGCTAAGATCCAGTGTGGAATTACATTTTTAACATGGTCATGGATAGAATAAACATAGTATTATTCTATTAATACATTTCTTATGTTTAAGTGTAATTCAACAATTTAAATTTAAAATGTCATTTTCTTTTTTTTAATTACTGAAAGTATAGGTGATCATGGGCCCATATTAGGCCCCATTAGGCCTTTCTAGAGTTTGCGCTGTATCAGCCCATAAACATTTTACCGTGACTTATTACGGGAAGGCGTGGGCTATTATCCCTCCGAATTCAAATTCAAATTCTAACTCCTCCGGATCCCAGAATCCACCCTTCTCTGTCGTGGTCACGCTCCTCTGACTTCATCTCCCAAACACGAGCAATGCTCTCAAGATCCGCCGCATCGCAGCTTCTCTCCACCGACGACGACGACGACGATTTTCAAATTCCCCCAACTCTAACCCTTTCAGGTTCTCTAAAACCCACCTTACGCAAAAACCCCCTCAAACCCTCCGACACTCCCCACCCTCCTTTCAAGAAACCCAAACGCCACTCTAACCGTGAAAAACAAAACGCCGCATTTTTCACCGTTCCGATTACCCGATCCGAAGATCTCCCCGATCTCGACGATACCTGCAGCTTGGATTTAATACCTTCCAGCGTCGATTGTAGTTTTAATTTGTCTTCTGACCAAAACAGGGGATCTGATTCTATAAAATGTGATGAGAAGAGAGAGGAGCTACTGGAATGGAATGAGGGTTATCTATGTAACTCATTAGAGTCGAGATTAATAAGGCCGACATCAGAATTAATCGAGGAATTCGGAGAAGATTTCGAGGAAGATAACGGGCTTGATGACTTACTTAAGCTATGCAATGAAGTGGAAGAAGAGGAAAAGGAAATAAATGGTTTAGACAACGGTTCAGTTCAGTGTCCACTTTGTGGGGTTGATATTTCGGATTTGAATGAAGAGCAGCGGCTAGTTCACACCAATGATTGTCTCGACAAAGTGGAGAACCCGGCTCAACCTGTAAGTTTAATAATCATCTTTCTGTTTTACTTGAATTATACTAATGTTTATCTGCGTTTCTTTTTGGTAAAGTTGGTTTCTGTTGTACGTGATTAGTGACTGTAACAATGATTTTTTGCAGGTTCTTATTCTCCCTAGTGTTGACAGGGAACTGCAATGCCCTCCTGAGGTTATCGATGGTCCCCCTTTGTCTCCTCCACAAGTTGTTGATGTCTCCCCTGTTGTTAAATGGCTGAGTAATCTTGGTTTAGCAAGATATGCTGATGCTTTTGTCCGAGAAGAGGTTGATTGGGACACTCTAAAGTGGCTAACTGAAGAGGTATGCTGCTTAGACTGTCACTTGGATTCTCGTATTAGGTATATCCCATAATGGCACGAGAATGCTGAATTTTTCATATTCTCATTTATATTTACATTCCAACGATTGATATCTGCACAAGCCCATATAATAGAAAATGAAGAACAGGCATAGCATAGGGTTCAATTTGGTAGCACTCTAAATAGTTTAGGAATGTGGGTTTCACCAGAATAGTTGTGGACAAGAAATTGTATTTTGGTAATTTAATATTCAGACTGATGATTAAAATTATTTTGTGTTACGCATGAGAGTTGCTAAATACTATGAAGTTTATGATTGGAAATTGCATAACGTCTTATTATCATGAAAGCTGGTGTATTTTTCTGAATAGTGTGAAGTCGACTTTGTTGTTGTTCCCAAATTGTTGTGCTGTTGTTTCAAATATGTTTTTTTCCCCTTCCATGTCATATCAGTTTCACGCACAAAAACGTAATTCACTAGAAAAAACCTATTTCTCCTCCTTGTCTTTCTTCTTTTTGCAGGATTTGTTCAGCATAGGTGTTACTGCACTTGGCCCTAGGAAGAAGATTGTGCATGCTCTTAGTGAACTCAGAAAAGGGTGCTCCTATTCAGCTGAGACACATGTGGGTCATTCCAGTCATGAAAATGAATCAGCCAAAAGCTACAGAGCGAAGATGCAAACTGAGATTTCTAATGTTATAGACTACGAAACTAGTAAACCAGCTGCAAACAAGTTAATTACAGATTTTTTTCCTGGCTTGGTTTCTGATAGGAAGAAAGTTTGCGCCCCACCAAGAGGACAGAATGTATCAGGCAAAGGTCATTCAGATTCCAGTCGTAGATGTGTGCAGAAAAATCATGTTAAAAACACAAAACTAAAAGATATTCCCACATGGTGCTGCATTCCGGGGACACCATTTCGAGTGGTATTGGCTCCCATCTTTTAATTATCATAATTTTTATTTCTAGTGCCAGCATGAGTTTTTATTTCTTTATATTACACTATTTTGGGGACACCCTAGAACTTACAAGGTTTCTTTTGCATTGGTACAACCTAGTACATAAGTACAGATTTATTTCCTCCAGCGCCCCCCCCCCCCCCCAAATCTTATTTTGATGCTTCAGTTTTTTGGGTGGCTTTTAAGGTTTATTCTAATTTACATTTTCAGGATGCTTTCAAATACCTTAGAGGAGATTGTTCTTACTGGTTTCTCACGCACTTCCACATGGACCGTAAGTTTGATTACATTTTTCCCATTCAAGTATATTCTCAATTATGTTGCTGGAGACTATTCGAATAGTACTATATTGGTACATATTGCTTCTTTATTTTTATGTATCTTCTTTTACATTATCATTTGTCAAATAACTATTTTGGTGGGTAATTCTCTAAGTGGCACCAGTGTAAACTGTTTGGGTGGATGGATCTGCTGTAGTATATTTGTTTGTCAGGGAATCAATTTCAGTGATGTGAAAGTGAACTTATGAGAATCTTTTCATTAATGATTTACTTTTCAAAATCTTATATTGACTTTAATGCGCAGACATGTCTGTGTTCATTCTCTTTTATTTTTATATTTAACATTGCAGCAACTTCATTAGCCTGAACCAGGATATATCGCAATACTATTTTATACTTTGTTCCATGCATAATAATCAGCTAAAAGTTTGGGTCTAGAGTGGAGCATATGTGGGGACAATAGTTTAGAGAAACTGTATTGATTGTCCTAAATAACAGCTTATAATATTGCATTCAGTAATGCTTTTATATGCATCGCCTCTTGATCAACGAAGCCAAGAAGGCCTAACAAAACCATCTGATGCCTTGTTTCAGAGGCACTCTTTAATTGCAAACTTGGCCTTAGGGTATATAAGCATTTAGAAGTTGAGTTTATTGGTCCTTTGCTTTGGTTTTCCTTAGCAGATTATCAAGGTTTAACAAAGTCCTTTCGTCATGGTAAGATTTACTGCTCCTCAATCACAGCACGGCTTGTAAATATGAAGCTTGGAATCCCATGGGAAATGTTGCAAGTTTTACCCCTCAACCAAAAGATCAATGTTTCTGGTATTGACGTAACATGCTTGGATGCAAATCACTGTCCAGGATCCATCATGATACTCTTTGAACCACCAAATGGTAAGGTGCGGTCTTCACTGAATTCCTGAGATATGTTATTATCATTTTGCATGTGATATTTCTTTCTTTTTCGTCTGAAACTGATTTTGTTTTGTTTATGTATTCAGGCTGTTCTACATACAGGAGATTTTCGCTTTAGTGAGGAAATGGCTGTCATGTCTCTTTGGCATGCCTGTCCTATACATACTCTCATCCTTGATACAACTTACTGTAATCCTCAGGTTAGTCTTTTTATAAATGATGCATTGTCTTTGATAGTAAATTGGTTGCAATTTACTTGAATGTTCAGTATTTTTAAACTGGCTGCATTACCTTGGTGATGTTTTTTGATCTTGTCATTTGAGATTTGTGTCTGCCATATATCAAATAATATACTTATTGACTTTTAGCAATCTTTTCAGTAAATGCTTTATGCCAACCTAAACCAAAGTTGTCTTTTTATGTCTAGGACCGACATGTTAGTAAGTACAATCTTTTAATAGAAGATTTTATATTTATTTTCTTCAACATTCCACAGAATAGATTTCTCATTATGAAATTTAAAAGTATAACTTTGTATCTGTTTAATTGTTATTTTGTATAACTAATTAAAATTCATTTTTATGTCATGATGCAAATCAGTATGATTTCCCAAAGCAGGAGGCTGTAATACAGTTTGTCATTGAGGCAATCCAAGCAGAGGCTTTCAACCCTAAGACACTTTTTCTAATTGGCAGCTACACAATTGGTAGAGTTTCCACTGCCTTTTCTTTCACTTGCATAAGTACATACTTCCCCTCTGGTTGACATATATTGGAAAGAAACAAGAAGCTACCATGATTCTTGTTATGTTCATTAGTCGTTATAGTTAAAGGTTGTAACTTTCTTAGGCCTATTACAGTATCGTCCAAAAAGACTTCCAGTCTAAATTTTGGTCTTAAAGTATCAAAGGCCTGCATTGTTATAGTTTCAGCTTTTATAATGCAGGAAAGGAAAGGCTTTTCTTGGAGGTTGCTCGTGTCCTTCGTAGAAAGGTTTATATCACTACAGCAAAGCTCCGTCTCTTGGAATGCTTGGGGTTCTCTGAGGAAGATATGCAGTGGTTCACATGTAATGAACAGGAAAGCCAGATCCATGTTGTCCCTATGTGGACACTTGCTAGCTTCAAACGATTGAAACATATATCTAATCAATATGCGGTGAGGAACACACAGTTATTTCACCTTATTATTTTTCTTTCACGAGATAAATAGACCTAAATATGAAAGGAGTTTGTTATACATTGGTAAATACTACACTGAAAGTAGTATAAATATCCATTTTCTTAAAAGTGGGATGTGTTGAGATTGTATGCTCTGAAATTAATATGTTAACTTATATAGTATTTCCAACAGTACGAATGCTTGATGGCTTGATACACTTTGCACCTATTTAGTTTCTCATTGTGAGTGTTACATTTGTTAGGAAAAAGAATCACAATATTCACATTATATGTATAATGTATTTCATAAATAGTTTGTAGGGGGAATTCATGATTCCTCTTTACAGGGAGAATTTTATCTGTTATATTCTAAACAATCTTACTATAGTTTTTCTGAAAAAAAAAAAAATCAAGTAGTGCTGTAACAACTATATAACTTAAGATACCATGTCACTTTTGTTTGAAGTCATTTTGCACTTAAAATTACTGAATTTCTTGCCATGGTTTTTTTATAGTAGTGGTATTATGCGTATGCAACGATTTAGAGTATTGTGTATCTTTCCTTTTTTCAGAGTCGATTCAGTCTAATAGTGGCTTTCTCTCCCACGGGTTGGACAGTTGGTAAGGGGAAGAAGAAGTCGCCTGGGAGAAGGTGGCAGCAGGGTACCATCATAAGGTATTTGTCACATCCCTATCTGTTCTTGAAAAAAAGACTATTTAAACTTATAAGCCTTGACCTACATTTCTCTCGCTACTCGTGAACAATATTCAATAAATAAATAATATTGTTTCTTAATATCAAAATACCCATATTTTATAATTCATTTTTCGATTAAAAAAACCTACATGCGGCATGTGCTTTATGACATTTGAGCAATTATGAAAATCTTTCAGGTAGTTAATTTAGGTTTCCTATGGGGTTTGATTTCACTATTAATTTTAGCATACTTTTTAATGAGTTATGCATGGTGCCATTTATCAGAAGTGAACCCACGCAGGGTTCGGATTTTGACTAGAGAGATTATTTGATGCTATTTTCCAGGTATGAAGTGCCATATAGTGAACATTGCAGCTTTACGGAGCTCAGAGAATTTGTGAAACTTTTATCTCCCGAAACCATAATTCCAAGTGTAAATAATGATGGACCAGATTCTGCCAAATCCATGATTTCCCTCTTGCTGCCTTGATTTGTTGTCCACTTGGTCTTTCAAGCTGTAGGACTATGTCGTTTGCTCCAGTTGCAGTTCCACATTTACAAAGTGATAGAATTGGGTGAACATCCGATTTTGCCCGAGTTATTATGTACTAATTGGTTCTGTAGGCAGAAAAATTTGATGCAAGGTAAAACTAATTTATAATTTGAATAGATTAAATTATAAACTGTATAGTTAATTACTGACAAGAACAGAGGGCTTCCATATTGAATAAGAACTGTGTTAAAGGTTTTTCTTGTTTTTGTACCATGAATGCCGTTTGTTGCGAAGAAAAGCCAGGAGGTTCACACTCGTATGCCATGTGTTTTATTCTGTTGCTCCATTTGCGGCACTAATTAATCGTAGGGACAATCCTTCACCACTTCAACCTTCCGCTCCATCTTCATGTTCGGGGCTTCATTTTGTATATGAAGGACTTGTTACCCAACTTCCGCATTGATATACGTAAGAAATGACCCAATAAATGGTGACGAACTAACGATTGTAACGCAACGTAAGCAATGCATTGCATGCTTTGACTTCAAAAAATTTGGCTATTTATGTTAATGTACCTCCGCGGTTTGACCCCTGGTCACCACCCCCCAGTAACAGATTGTCTGTCGTTTCGTCGCGTTTAATTGGATTTAAACGGCGCGTGAGGTCTGATCTCGTGCCCCGTCCGAACTCACCTTTCTTCACTTGACAACTTCCATTTTGCTGTCGATATCGATTTGATTTTTATTTATTCCTCAATGTTTCAATTGTGGCACGTTTTAGGATAATTGTTAATTTTTTTTTTATTTTTCTTTTAATGCTTTCAATTAAATTAATAAAAAAGGTGGGTTTTGAGCACGTGTTGAAATTGGAGATATGATTTATTGCCTTTTCTCAATAGTGTAATGTCCAAATTCAATGGGGCACTCAAAAAGCTGATGGGATTTCGGGTTTTTTTCGATAAAAAAAATGCTGAATTTTTTTGAAAGGCTTCTTTCCTTTTTTTTATTTAACTTGGTAAGCATTGGCTTGGAAATGATGAATAGATAATATTCAATTAATTTGGTATTGCAATGTCGCAAAGGAAATGGAAGATATGATAAAAATAAAATAAATGATTAGTTATATTTATTATAAAAGAAATGATATTATAATTTTAAATCTTTTTATACTTGTAATTTTCAATAATTTAATCGTTATTCACCAAAACTCAATATAGAGAAAATAAAATTATTCCCTCATCAGTCATCACCTGTTTCTAGGTTCGAGGGAAATAAAAAAATTTTGGACGTACATATTTCAACACTTAAATATGATAATTTTTATATTTATATTATATAAAATATTAATATTATATATATTATTTGATATAAAAATTATATATCATAATTCATATCTATATAAAAATATAAAATATATATTTATTTTATTAAATTATATATAATTTTTATTAAAATTTTAAATTATATATTTTTTATTTCGTTTTCGTGTTACATTATCATGTTATATTTTAGATTATCATGTTTAAATATGATGGAATTTATTTTTTTCTTCTTTGAGACATTTTCTGAATTTCATGAGTTTTTTTAGAGGTTTTTTTTTTTATAAAAATAATAGATGATAGTATATACCAATGAAACAGTTGTCTTTTTTTGCTGTATTTATAAATTTGTTCTTGTGACGATGAAAAACCTTTGCAAAAAAAAGTTCCCTTCTTTTTTTTTCCTAAATTTCTATCTTTGATCATGAAACTCAATAAGACCTTTTCTTTTATAAGGTTACTCTAGTTTGAAGATTTTATTGCTAATTTATTAATTATTATATTAATTAAAATATTAAAATTTTAATTTTAATAATTAAAATTTAATTCTCCACGACCGTAATAATAAAATAAAACTTTTTGTCCAACTTTTATAGGTTAATAAAGTGTTAAAATTACAAAAAAATGGATATAATTTTTTTTTTTTTGAGAAAACTTGAAGATTATATAATCAATTACACGTTGATTCATAGGAGCGACCAATTCAGGTTTACTAAAAACATCGCGATATAAATTATCATTGCTCTAGATATGCACATTTAAAAAAGAAAAATTTCTATAATGTAATATATAACCGTATTTAGTGTCACTGTCCAAGGATGAGTATAGCATAATATTTTTAGAAGCATTTTCCAATCAGAGAGAGTGACCTCAGAGCTCAGACTGTACAAAAATCATGCATAAACCAAAAAAAATTCTTCATGTAACGATCATCTGGCTAGGCTAGCAAGTCAAATTTTGTTTCAAGTTTGAGTTGAATTTAGTGAGCCAAACCGAAAATAGGTGGGCAACTGGCAGCTGTCTGCCCGTATTGCACAAATGCTGCCATGTGAGGAAAAGAAAAAGGAAAGGCAATAGCAACTCCAAATGTCAATATCCCAGCCTGAAAATTCGCTAATGCATGCCAAATCTGAAATATAGGTTCAATATTTTTATCTGATGATCCAACCTTAATTTCCTGAAAGACGTCTTGTCCTTTTTGTTAAGGTAATATTTTCTTGTATCTAGAATTAGAAAAAAAAAAAAAGACAGAAAGAAAAAGGACCCTTTGTTCATGTATTTTTAATTAATTATGGAATTATTTCAATTGCTGAGATTGTATATATCCCAAGATTTAATGGTTTCTGACTATACAGGAAGACTTCACAAAAAAAAAACCTGGACCCTTCCCCCTGACGAAATTTCAATATTCAACTCTCACCCGCAGCTGGGAAAAAAATCAGTGACCCTGACAGCTAAAATTCGCCAAACTCCTGATTATCCAGCTACTTCTATATATAAGAGAAAAAGAAAAGACTATTACTTTCAGTACTCTAATTGAGATATTGGCTTAGAAATTCCAAAGAAACGATGACTGTGAAAAACCGTCGTCACCGTTTTGATTATCATCCACGTTATCATCAATAGGAGGTGGAGATAATGGTGGAGGATAGAACTGATCACCAGGCAAGTGACTGAACCCTGAATAAAAGCCATAATCGGATATCCGTTGATTGGTGTCCAACATGCTCAAGAACGACGACCAGTCCATTATTTCATGAATCTCCACTTGTGTTGCCACTCCCCCATCTGACACTGATACCGACGAAGACGACGTGTGCTGTTCTGTCCCCGCATTGTTGTTGTTACGTGAATGAGGTTCATTTGAAGTAATAATATTAGAATCGTTGTCATTCCCTGGAGTCCTACCAGCTTCCACCTCGTTAGCAAACCTAGCCGCTGCCACTTGAATTTCTTGAGGGCCAAGCGACCTCCCTCCAACAATCTCTGGTGGATTTTCAGGGAAATTGAACTTAGCATCACGGCCACGTAAACAATAAAGAGCCGCATCAAACGCCCTGGCTGCTTTCTCCGCCGAGTCGTAAGACCCTAACCAAATACGCTCACGGCTGTTGGGAAGTCGAATTTCGGACACCCATTTCCCCCATTTCCTCTTCCTTACACCCTTGTACTTTGAACTACTAGTCTCCAAGACATGCTCCGTAGGTGATGTTGAAGACTGTGTGCAACTTGGTTTCACCATTAATTGAAAATATTATGTATTAAGTTATCAAAAAAGGTCCTTCAGATTGTGACTAAAAGCTTTTCAATCTTCAGGCCGAGCTTCGGATAATGAAAATGGCGGCTCTTTTAGAGTATATATATAGGGCTGGGACGATCACTGGAGAGAAGTTTGAGTAGTGGTTTTTTTTGAAGGATCTAAGCGCGTTGACGAGGAGCGAAGAAAGCGGATACGTGGCAGTTTTTGTACTGCCAACGCCAGGTAGAAACGCGGTAGAGACGGTAGGCGAAAACCACGTGCATATATTTGAGGGTTTTAAAGAATTTTTGTTTTTTCTTTATTTGGTCTTTTTATTTATAATTAAGTTCAAGGCAGAGTAAAAGATTACTACTAACCGGTCAGTGACCAGGAGGCTTCCTAACTTGCGTGATGGATTTTATAGTATACTATTTTCAACTATCAGTACGCGCGTAGGTCACACTCTCTGGCTCAAGCCAAAGCGAAAGGCCAAGGGGTTGGACTAACATGAAAATTTTCAACTAATTATATAAAGCTTTAACTTTATTTTTCCTTTTAGGTAAGCTAGTAAGATGATTCCATGAAAATTCTTCAGTTAATTAAAAGTCTACAATCTCTCTTCATTCAATCACGTAATGTATGCCCGCGTGCATGGATATGTACATGCGTGTTTCTTTTATTTGTTATGAAATTTGTGTGTTTATTATTTATGAATAAATTTATTAAGGATCATTATTTTTTGTGAATAATAAAATAAAATTATACTTTTTTAGTAAAAAAAATTATGATTGGCTCGTACAATGGGTATAGATAGAGCAACAAAAATAATAAGCAACATGGAATATAATGCATCAATAATTAGTGGTCTTAGTGTAAATTTTTATTTTTAAAATTTAATTTTAGATTCATAAATTTTTTTAAAATATTAAATTTATCTATTCTATTAATAATAGTTAAAAAGTTATATGTCATTTTAATATCACATGGAAGTTTATTTTTGCCAACAAAAACTTAGTCTAAATAATTAAATAAGTTCATATTTTTATTGGGTTTTAATGTTGATTGATTGAGTGATTGTATTTAAAATATTGTTATAATATCATAAATTTAATAATTGAATTTTAAAAATTACGAATAAAATTCTATGAATATGGGATGTATATTTTTTAAAATATATTAAAAAATTAATTAAAAACTAAAAAATATAAGATCCTTTTAAATTTGTGTGTAAAATTAAAAAATATTAATATTAATATATTAAAAAACGTACTCGTTTACTACTACTTGCATAGAAAAATAGACGTGTTAAACCACTAAGAAGAGCAGTTTTCTAGAAGAATAAAGCGCGTGAGAGAAGGTAGCTTTCTGGTCTCAAAAGCTATTTTGGAAGAAAGAATGGGCCCAAAAATGCTAACAATGGGCCCAATTTTCAAAATCATGGGCCCCCACCCTGTCATGCCAAAGCCAGACCAAGCTCGGACAAGCACAATAAAATGCATTTTTTTAAGAAAAAAATTATATTGTCAACTCCAACCTAATTCCCGTTTGCCCCCGAAAAAGAGGAGTCAAATGATGCATGTAGCTTTTGATTTCATTGATGAGAAAATTCATGGTAATGTGAATGTCTTCAATCCTCTAGAATTCCAAGACTATTAAAACTAGGTGTGTCTCTATCTTTATTGTAGTAGTAGAAGAAGAAGGAGCATAGTTTGATTTATATTTTCATTTTCTTTGTTGATTTTGATATGTGCCCTTTTGACCCACTGATCCCAATCTCAGTATTCATCTAGATTTTAATTGCAATAGAATCATTCATCTTATTATTATTAAAATTATATTATTTCATATTTAATAAATATTTAATTATTTATAATTTTATATTCAAATTATATCTTTTTATTTATCGTTAATTGATTTTATATTACATGTTTTAATAATTCTTATAAAGTCAACCTCAAAATTTTTAATGTATGAACATCATCACAGTATCAAGAACATGCGATGCTTTTGAAGCAATATTGACCAGATTAGGAAAATTTTTACTTTTATAAAGTGAGAATTAATATCTATCAAAAGTGATAAAAAAACAAAAAAAAAAAAAATTGGTTGCATGGGTATCTATTGGCTGACAAGAGTTGACTAATCTGAAACCCGAAGAAATGTATATGTATCTGAGGTAAGAAAAAGAACTGTTCGAATATGAATGCAGAGTAATGAGTGAGAGAATGATGTTACGCGTTTGTCAAGTCAGACTGGTAATCTTTGGCCATGTTTCCCAGCCCTTAAAAGTCCTTTAACGATAATAACAAACGTTGTTTCCTCGGTTAAAACATGTCGAAAAGCAAGTCATTTGGTGCCTGCCTGACTTAGCCACCTACTTCACAACTCGGATTTCTGCTAAACATGATAATTTGTGTATTCAAATGGTATTTATGTATACACATAAAATATAAAAAATTATCATATTAAATCTATGATACGTGACATATTTAATATAAAATGTATATTTTATTTTTATAAAATTAATTTATAATTTTTGTTAAAATTTTAAATCATACAAATTATTTTTATATTTTTTATATAATTTTTATATCATATTAACATATCATATTTATCAAAATACATGTTATGTTATTGAAAAACAATAAGAAAAATGTTGAATAATTAAAACATAATAGTCCAAAATAATGAAAAAAATATTAGCATTAGAATTTTACTTTGAAAGTCCTATCATTTACACATTATTTTTCTTTTTTCACTTTCAAACCATTTAGCATATCCCTTACTAAAATTCACCAACCTTAATTATCTTTCATTACTTGACCAATACATAGTACTTTTAGTAACCTTATAATATATTTTTTATATATAAAAAAAATTATAATTTGAAAATAAAAAATTACAAATATTAATATTTAAATTCAAACTTGTTAAATATCATGAATCAATTTTGATTCTTAAATCCTTATGCCCAAGTAATTATTTTTTCTATTAAGTTTGCTTGAGTATTAAAAAATGGATTTAATAAATTATTAAGGAAAATCATCCCTAATTTTTTTTTTTTGAAAATAAATAAATAATGGAATAAAACCTGATTTTTTGGGCCGAACATCCAAGTCTAATTGCACTACACATGATGCAATAGTCCTGCTAAGTAATTTCCAATAAATGCCCTTGTTTTTCCATTTCGGGCCCTTTCTAACAATTTTTTTTTTTTCACAGGCAAATTAATCCTCTCCTAAGAACTTGAATATTGCTCTTTGATTTTGTCGCTTCGCCCCACCCCTCTATTTTCAGTGACGACAATAAACAGTCGATTACATTTTTTAATCATTGGGTTGAAGATCCTAAATTTTACCCTACTGACTCACTTTTTTCTTTAAGAAACTTTGGATATTTAATACAAACTTCCAGGAAGCTTGAAAAAGTAATGGTCATCCAGTTTGTTGTAAACCAAGTTTTGTTAAATAAATCAGGTAAAAACAAGCGGCTACTTTCGAATCACCACCAAATGTTTGAGTTTTTGCCTGTGAGAAGAAACTTGTATCAACAACCATTGTTTGGGTGGTTTCAAAACAGAGCAATGACATCCAGTAGACGAGTCCAAGACCGAAGCAAGAACAAAAGAATCCACCATCTTGAAATCGTAAAGGAGAAATGGAAAATATCATCACGGGTATTGTTTTTGATGGAAGTTTTAAGGAAAGAACCCGAGATGATTATCCCCATAAGGTCATTGGACCACTACAGGAAGCAAATTAATTTACCGAAGCCCCACAAAGTAACTGATTTCATTCGGAAATGTCCCAAGTTGTTTGAATTATATAAGGATCAAAGGGGAACGTTATGGTGCGGAATGACTAAAGAAGCTGAGGATTTACTGGAAGAAGAGGAAAGGTTGATTGAGGAACAATCAAGTAAAACTGTTGAGTTTGTTACTAGGATTCTAATGATGTCGGTTGATAAACGGATTCAGTTAGACAAGATTGCTCATTTCAGGAGAGATTTTGGTTTGCCGATTGAGTTTAGGACCAAGTGGGTGAATCAATATCCTCAACATTTTAGGGTGGTAAAATCTAAAGATGGGGTTGAGTTTTTGGAGCTTGTAAATTGGAATCCTGCTTGGGCTATTACAGAGTTGGAGAAGAAAGCATTGGGTTTGAGTAATGGGATTGGACGTGAACCGGGTTTACTTTCTTTGCCTTTTCCTTTGAAATTCCCTCCTAATTACAAGAAAGTGTACAGACATGGAGGGAAGATTGAGCATTTTCAAAAAAGATCTTATTTGTCTCCGTATGCGGATGCTAGGGAGCTGAAAGCAGGGTCATTGGAATTTGATAAGAGGGCAGTTGCTGTTATGCATGAGTTACTTAGCTTTACTATTGAGAAGAGATTGGTGACTGACCATCTCACTCATTTCCGACAGGAGCTTGTGATGCCACAGAAGTTGATGAGACTTCTTTTGAAGCATTTTGGCATCTTTTATGTTTCTGAAAGGGGCAAGAGATTTAGTGTCTTCTTGACTGAAGCTTATGAAGGTTCAGAGCTGATTGAGAAATGCCCGTTTGTGCTTTGGAAGGAAAAGGTCCTAAGCCTTGTTGGTTATAGAGGAAAGAAGAAAGAGATTCCTACTTTCAGTGACCTATCAGACATGGAAGAAAAGGATTTAATTGAGGTTGATACTGAGAATGACAACATATCTGTGGAATTTGAGGAAGAGGAGACCATGGTTGGTTTAGAGGCTGTTTCACTAACTAACAATGATGAGTTGGAGATTGCTCATGTTTGCAGTGCATGCAAAGGCACTGATAAAACTTGAGGTTACTTTCTTTTGTACATTTAGTTTTTGAAACTTCAGTTACTTCAGTTAAGTTTGAAATTTCAAAGATGTCATTACTTCAATGAAATATTTTAAGCTCAACATATTGCCTCCATGGTAACTGTTTATACATGTTTTACTCTGTGCTTTTTAAGCTATTATCTTGCTTAATATAAATTGCATGTCGAAAGTGAGGAGTAAAGGTACATTTGATGTGATAGATGTGAAGATATTCACTGTTCAGGTAGGCTCTTAAAACACTCCTTAGAGCTCATGACTTTTAATTTCATATATCTGAAAATGATTGGTTGTTCTTGGTATGAGTTGCTGTTTGTTTCTGAAAAAGCTTGGGTTGCGTTTCAAATTGAGTTATATAGATGGGGTCTCAATTATATCTATTGATTCCTTGGTAATTTGTATCCAGTATTGAAGGAAAGCAATCAATATCATATACCATTTTGCTTGCTTCTGATATTTTAATGTTCAGTTCAATTTGCAGATTTTGAAATTTGGAAAAATGGTTTCTCCATTATTTTGACCTTTAATTATAACCAATAATTATTATAATGTGTTAAGGCTATAGGCAATGAATTTCATTGTTCGATTGTGACCTTTTCTCTTTTTGCATGAAAATATGTTCTTTGATTGAAGCTTACTTCATATGAATAGAGCTTCATTGTACTGCTCTTAATTGGCCCTATCAGATACAAGCTTTTCTTTTAGAATGAAAAGTATAATAGTCAAAGCTTTAGGCATGAACTGTATATTCTTGAAAAACTGCTGATTGCAGCATATTTTCTTATCATTTTTTTAAACTCCATATTTCTCCAAATTATTGTTTAGCTCATTTTTGTTCTGTTCAAGCTGTTCACTGTTTCACATTTTTCCTTTCATTCAGATTGCATATTCAGCAACCAGATGGCTTTATATATGTAACTGCTTCATTTGGATGATGGAAATTTTAATTTGCAATATATCATAGTAGCTTGAATTCGCAATATGAAAGCTCTCCTTCAACTAGGGCTCCTGTCTGGGTTTCCTAGTGAGCAATTTATTCTCCTCTTTTACTTGCCTGTTTACATATATATATTTGTTACAAGTCAATCTTATTAATACCTTACAGCAACCTCTCATGATTGTGAATAAACCCTTTTGTACTATTAAAGTGCGATCCAGTTTTCCTTTTTGTCAGATGGAACAATGAAACTCATTCAACAATGGAAAGATGTACAGCGAAATGACAACAGAAAAACACTCGGACATGAAGTGATGGCTCAACAGCAAGAACAATCAGACAATAAATGGACCATGTTCCATTTTCATGACTCATACTTTGGCTGTAACTTATACATAATTTCTTCGGCCAAACTAGAATCTTTTATACAATTTATAGAAAATCAAACCAAATCATGTGGTTGTAGATTTCAATGTTTCTATTGTGATAAATTTAACTCCATCTAGCATAGAAATTAAATTTGAAAGTTACTGTCATCTAATTGCTGTCCCTTGCTGAATGATCACAACCTATCATATCTTCTCAAGCAGGAAAGAAACTGAAATTTCATCCAACTACAGTATAAAGTTTTTATGATGGTGACATTTTAATATCTTGAAAAAGATTGCAATTATATTTGTTTTTAGTAACTTTGAATTTACTTATGGGTCTAAATTAACTAACATAGGTTGAGCGAAGCCCTCGCGCTCACTCTCACCCAACTTCTTTAAATGTACATGGGGTTCTTAACTACACTTTTAATGGTTTCACTTTGTCAACTGGCAAGGCCAAGAGGGAAAGAGACTTTCTACATGCAAGATTATTTTCAGATTATTTTTTCTTTTTTTTTTTTATAATTAAATTAACAATATTAGAATGAATATAGTTGCATTCTCTCTTTCTTCTTCAACAACATTACCCATTGGTATCAATCAAGTCTAATGATCTTAGGGTGTGTTTGGAACATAAGATTATGATAAGATAAAATAATATAATATTATGAATAGAATTAAATTAAATAATATTATTTTATTTTATATTTGATATGTATAAAGATTATGATAGGATACTATTGATCAAAATTATCCTTATTCAAAGTTTATATAATTCAAATTATTAATATAATTTTTAAGAATATAACAAAATATACAAATTTAATCTCATGAATTAAAATAAAAAGATGATTATTATCTTATCTTGTCCATAATTTTATACACCAAACGTTACCTCTATACGTTACATTAAACAGCTTGGTTACCTCTATACGTTACATTAAACAGCTTGGCTACTAGAGCAAGTCTGAGTTTAAGACTATTCCATTTTTTTTTTCTCTTGTATGGTGTTGGTACTATTTGTAGATATAACCTCTCTATTTTACATCTTTTTATTATATATATATATATAATATATATATATATATATATTATTCAGATGACGATTCAGAATGGCAAAAATCTGACAGTGAATTTATAATCCCCAACTTGGGGCTGTTTAGTGAATTTATAATCCTCAACTTGGGGGCTGCTTACTTTCTTGTATCAAGTTGGCTTAGTGTCTTCGTTATTTATTAATTTTAAACATAAATGTTATGAAGAAATTATCCTATATTTATAATTGCCGATTTCTCACGTTATTGGCATATTTATTTGCAGGGAAAATGCATGGAAGACGATCAATGATATATATTCGATACACAGTTAGAAGAAGAGCACTGACAAAGAGTTTTTAAATTCAAATTTTATTAGTAATTGTTTGTTGGGATCATTTTAAATGTACGATTTATGATCATTTATTTTAAATTATTAAATACAACATATTTTATCATGATTTAAAAGATTGAACAATCTATTTATTTCAGATTTTTCATAAAAAAAAATGTAGTAATTTATATTTGACACTATATGCTTATGTTACGCTTATTTTTTAAAACTACAAAAATCATTATTCCTCTCGGACAAATGCTTTAAAAAAATGAATTGTGCTAACAGCTACTTAATTTACTATTCATAGTAATTTTTTATATTAAATAAAATAATTAATTAATAAATTTTAGTATTTAAATAATAACTTATTTTAATAAGATAACTTTAAAAAACATATTAGCAAAATCCGAGTATATATATATATATATTTATATATAGAAAAATTATTTAATATACTGTAGAGCGATTACATAGAATATAAGTGATAACCCATACTTCTGGAAACTATAGTTCTCAGCTAATTTGATACTGAATTGATTTCATAACCCGAGAGACTTAATTCTAGAACAAGTTGGCTAAAGCTTTTGCTGCTCTTTTACGAGGTGGTCATTGGTCAGTAGAGGTAGCAGTAGATAGTGAATTATGCATATCCACCAAAAGAATCATGAAATCCAAACCCAGCCTATCGCCAGAAAGGCTGAACTTCAAACCTGTTCGTAATTTTCTGCCCCAAACCACACATGTTGAAGCAATAAATCGACAAGTTTCGATTCGGCAGGCAGGCTGTAGCGTTGCAGCTTAATTAACTTTTGCTTTACTAGTAATATTTATTCGAAGTAAAGATGGTAGTTAAACTATATGCAATAAGGCTAAACAGCTTCATGCCAGCTGGTAGCTTCAAGAGAAGCAAGTAGTCCCTTAAGGCCTCAATCCCCTCAACTACTTTCATTGCATTTTTATTATGGATTTATGCTTCTTTTCCATAGCTTGACCACAAAATTAAGGAAATGGGAGGGAAAAGATGAGGCTGTTGAAGAAGGCATCCATAATATCACAAGATATGTTAGTTCCAATGAGTGAAGTCATCAGCACAACAACTTTATCATGTAATTTACCAGATGATCTAAACGAAAGCAAAACCCGTTTGAACTTTGAATTGGACCAGCTTTCATTGAATGAAAGAATTTAAAGCAGTTAAAAACCTTCCAACTACACACCACCCTAAGTTGGTGTGAACATTAACTATACTCCACCGACCACATTACATCTCACAATAATACATTTATTTTATATATAAACTCCGGTTCCTCACCATCATAGTTATCCTAGTTATTAATCCAGGCTTTAACATGGCTAGAAGTGAGCAAGATCTATTGTCAACGGAGATTGTCAACCGTGGGATTGAGTCCTCGGGGCCTAATGCCGGCTCCTTAACCTTCTCGGTCAGGGTTGGAAGGCGGCTTCCAGATTTTCTTCAGTCAGTGAACTTGAAATATGTGAAGTTAGGGTACCATTATCTGATTAATCATGGCATATACTTGGCTACCATACCAGTTTTGGTGCTCGTTTTTGGTGCCGAATTGGGAAGCCTTAGTAGGGAAGAGCTGTGGAAAAAGCTATGGGAAGATGCTCGCTATGACCTTGCCACAGTGCTCTCCTCTTTCGCTGTCTTTGTGTTCACGGTTTCTGTCTACTTTACGTCACGGCCTCGGTCCATTTATCTGATTGATTTTTCATGCTACCGTCCTAATGATGACTTAAAGGTGAAGATCTTTTCATGCATGAAAGCTCGACTAGACAGCTATAACGTATTTGTTGCTATACAAGAAACGATTAAACAATAGATTTTATTACTGAACAAATTAATTTACATACATCCTATTACATTTCAGGTGACTAAGGAGCAGTTTATTCAAATGGCAAGAGCATCAGGCAAATTTGACGAGGCAAGTCTTGAATTCCAGAAAAGGATTCTGAAATCATCAGGAATTGGGGACGAAACTTATGTTCCAAAGGCACTCATGTCTAAAGAGAACTGTGCAACCATGAAAGAAGGTCGCCTGGAAGCCTCAACTGTAATGTTTGGGGCCCTCGATGAGCTCTTTGAGAAGACCAGGATTCGACCGAAGGATGTTGGGATCCTCGTTGTGAACTGCAGCATCTTCAATCCAACTCCATCTCTGTCTGCAATGATCATCAACCACTATAAAATGAGAGGCAATATTTTGAGCTATAATCTTGGTGGGATGGGCTGCAGTGCTGGGATCATAGCAGTGGACTTGGCCCGAGACATGTTACAAGCAAACCCAAACAATTATGCTGTTGTAGTGAGCACTGAGATGGTGGGCTACAATTGGTACCCGGGCCGGGACAGGTCCATGCTGGTTCCAAATTGCTTTTTCAGGATGGGATGCTCGGCCGTCCTTCTGTCCAACCGTCGTCGTGACTACAGGCGTGCCAAGTACCGTCTTGAACATCTTGTCCGGACACATAAAGGTGCTGATGACCGCAGCTTCAGGTTTGTTCCTTGTGTTTCCTTTGATCATCCTCTTGATTGTTTACCTGTTTGTGCATATCTGTTTACCTCGGCTAAGAGTAGATTAATGCTACTTTATAGCTTGGTAGATGAATAAGGCCCCAATAAATAACTATTAGACTTTTGGTTCAACTTCCTTCCAATCAAATGGCTTTTAATTTTAATTTATGATAATAGAATACCAATCTATTTGAGGATGGGACGGTTAGATATTCATGAAGTTCATATTATAGATGAACTAAGAACTGCTATATCACATATTCGTATTCACAAGACAAACCAACTTATTTTCCAGCGATGAAAACTATCCAACTTATTTTGCAACCTATTAGACTGACCAACTTTTTTTTCCTTTCTGATTTCTTTTTGGTAGTAAAAACTACCCAGCCTATTTTCCAGCCATGAAAATGACACTCTGGACTTTGTGGAGGTGGTCCACCTATCGCCTTTCTTCTGTGTTTTAAGTTGAGGCCATGTGGCTGTGTCTCGAGACAGAGACATTCAATAGCCTAGAATGGCCACATAGCCCAGTCCATACTAGTAGTATCTTATTAATCAATCATACGGCGGAGAAGATGATTCAACCGCAATTTGGAAAACTTTTAGTGGAACTACCAGCATTTCAAGCAGCAGAGATGGCAATGTCAAAAATCAGAGAACAATCAATTAAATTCAAAACATAGTAGGAATTTAGGAATATTTTGGAACTCCAATAACCGATGTTTACTCAGACTCCTTAAATCTGTGTATCGATAACAGTTACTCTCCATCGAATAAATTTCTTTTGAAATTGAATCATTGAATTTATGTAAAATGAAAATTTTTACTCGAATTTAAAATATCTCTATCCAAACTTTGGGCATTGTGATTTACTGGTTTTTTAATTTTATTTGGTGTGTGTAAATTATGGATCAGGTCTGTCTACCAGGAGGAAGATGAACGGGTATTAAGGGGCTTAAGGTCAGCAAAGATCTAATGGAAATTGGTGGAGATGCCCTGAAAACCAACATCACCACATTGGGGCCTCTGGTGCTACCCTTCTCCGAGCAACTTCTCTTCTTTGCTACATTAGTTTGGAGGCACTTTTTTGGTGGGGATAATTCCAAAGCATCATTATCACCATCGGCAAAGCCATACATCCCAGATTACAAACTTGCATTTGAACACTTTTGCGTGCATGCTGCGAGCAAGACTGTGCTAGATGAGCTTCAAAAGAACCTTGAGCTCACTGAGAAGAACATGGAAGCCTCCGGGATGACGTTGCACCGCTTTGGTAACACTTCTAGCAGCAGTATATGGTATGAATTGGCATACTTGGAAGCTAAGGAAAGGGTTAAAAGAGGAGACAGGATTTGGCAGATTGCCTTCGGTTCTGGGTTCAAGTGCAACAGTGTGGTTTGGCGTTCCATACGCCGTGCAAGGAAGCCTTCCAGGAATAATCCCTGGCTTGATTGCATTGACAGATATCCTGTGGCACCTTAAATTGCGTTACGGCTTGGTTGAT